CTTAAGGGGCAGTGTCCCTCCCTTAACTCTTACAAATGAAGCTTAAAGGCTCTTAAGAGATACATTTACATACTACTGGGACTGGGCTGGGTTCTGGCCTGATTGTACTTCCTGGTCAGGAGAGCTGTCTACTCTTCTGGGGGTTGGGCACTAACTGATTTCCTTTTTTCATTTGGCCAAGATCTTATTAGTTTAAAGGGAGACACTCTCCTTTGCTTTACCGTTCTCATTAGCTCTAGATGGGAAGACATGATTTACCTTCAGGCCTTATTGTGAAAATCATCTTGGGTAGAAAGGTTGAAATAAAATAACCCTGATTTTATTGCTGAGAGGAGCTGCCCACATTTTCTTTGCATTCCTGTACTGTGATGCCATATTTAAGTCACATCTGAAATTAAAAGGCGCTTGCTCCTTGGAAGAAAAGCTATGACAAACTTAGACAGCATATTAAAAAGCAGAGACATCACTTTGTTGACACAAAGGTCCATATAGTCAAAGCTCTGGTTTTTCCAGTAGTCGTGTATGGATGTGAAAGTTGGACCGTAAAGAAGGCTGAGCAGCGAAGAATTGATGCTTTCGAATTGTGGTACTGGAGAAGACTCTTGAGAGTCCTTTGGATAGCACAGAGATCAAACCAGTCAATCCTAAAGGAAGTCAACCCTGAATATTCATTGGAAGGACTGATGCCGAGGCTGAAGCTCCAAAACTTTGGCCACCTGATGCAAAAAGCCAACTCATTGGAAAAGACCCTGATGCTGGGAAAGATTGAAGGCAGGAGGAGAAGCAGGTGACAGAGGATGAGATGGTTGGATGGCATCACCGACTCAATGGACTTGAATTTGAACAAACCCTGGGAGATAGTGAAGGACAGGGAAGCCTGGAGTGCTGCAGTCCATGGGGTTGCAAAAAGTTGGACACGATTGCGCGACTAAACAACAAAAGTATACAGTGAGTCTGGCTGGGAGGATCATCCCTGCTTTTGTAATATCTCTCGTAGTAGTAAAATAGTGATAGTTTTAAAGTAACTTGTCAAGGTCACACAGCCAGTGGTAGTAGAGCTGGAATTTGCACCTAGAGCCACTGTTGTTCCACTGATGTCACTGCCCAGCACAGAGTTTTGTGTTTTTAGGAGCTGCTTATAAATGAAGTGACTGTGGTCCTGTGACCCCTCAGTAGAGGCTACTGGAGAAACAGACCTCAGGCACGAGATAACTTCTCATCCCTTTTACTTATCTGATTTCTGTAAGCCATCCATTTACGCTTGCTGCTGCTGCTGCTAAGTCGCTTCAGTCATGTCCAACTCTGTAAGACCCCATAGACGGCAGCCCACAAGGCTCCTCTGTCCCTGGGATTCTGCAGGCAAAAATACTGGAGTGGGTTGCCATTTCCTTCTCCAATGCATGCATGCATGCTAAGTCGCTTCAGTCATGCCCTACTTTGTGCGACCCTATGGACAGTAGCCCACCAGGCCCAATCCAGTGTCCACAGGATTCTCTAGGCAAGAATACTGGAGTGAGTTGCCCATTTATGCTTATTAGTATATAATTTGTGAGACAGGAAATGGTATACTGTCCCAGACTAGCAGAGATGAAAAAGTCACTAGTTTCCTCATGGATTCAAACAGAAAAAAAGACAATTAACTGTGGCCTGTCATTGGGTGGGAGAATATAGTCCAGCGGATATAGGAGAGAAGATGTGTGTCTCACACACTCCAGCAGAGGTGTGGCTGTGCATACAACTGGAGGAGTGGAGAGGGGATCAGATGAGATTGGCTCTCATCTGATTATCAAGCATAACATTTCTAGACGTGTGTAATGAACTACTGAATATCTTCTCTGTGATATAAGTTTGCTTATAGCTTTGCTTATTATTATTTTGGCTGTACTGCCTGGCTTGAGGGATCTTAGTTCCCTGACCAGGGATTGAACCCAGGCCCTGGTAGTGAAAGTGCTGAGTCCTAACCGCTGGACCACCAGGGAGTTCCCTGTGACATACGCTTTCCCAAATGGCTCAGAACCTGCCTGCCAATGCAGGAGACGTGGGTTTGATCCCTGGGAAAATCCCCGGAGAAGGAAATGGTAATCTATTCCAGTATTTCTGCCTGGGAAGTCCCCTGAACAGAGGAGCCTGGTGGGCTATAGTCTACGGGATCGACAATCCATGGGGTCCCAAAGAGTTGGACATGACTTAGTGAGTGAGCATGCATGCAACCTATGGGATAGAGGATGAACTTTTCTTCCTTAATGTCTTTTATTTGAAAGGATCACTATTCTCACGATGCTTATTTTTCAGACCGTCAGTGCTGAGGAGAGGCCTTTAACTATAGGGAAATCTTGGAGGGCCCTGAGGTCTTCTCTATAGAGACCCAGTTTCTTCATTGATGCCTAGCAAGTTTGGATCTGCTGCTTATTTTAGAATGAAGATAGGAAATCATATATGGAAAATAAGTTTATCCTAAAAACTTTTCCTCCCCTTAAATTGACAAAATACAGAGTGGCTCTTATTTTTCACATTCTAGTTGAAATTGATGGAGGAGGAGACAGTTATGGTATTGAGCCTGGAAAGTCTCTTAGCTGCCATGCCATATGCTATGCTGGCCTTTTGTTTCACACTCAGAACTGTCTCAGGTTCACCTGATGGTGGCCAGTTTGCACTATCTGGCATGTTCAAGAATATGATTCTTACAAACCTTGGGCAGTGGTCTTACATATTCTTAACTAATTTACTCATTCTTTAAAAAGCTTTACTTCTAGTTTTTTTGTTTTATTTTTTTAAGAAGTTACTTAAAAAACCTCACCTAGGGGACTTCCCTGGTGGTCCAGTGGTTAACTCTGTGGGGGGAACTAGATCCCACATGCACAACCGAATAAAAACAAAACAAAAAACATAACCTAGGACTTCCCAGGTGGCGCAGTGGGCAAGATTCTGTCTGCCAGTGTAGAGGACATGGGTTTAGTCCTGCAGAGCAGCTAAGCCCGTGTGCCACAACTGCTGAAATCTGCGCGCCGCGGGCTGAAATCTGCGCGCCGCGGGCCCTGCGGCAGAAAGCAGCCCCCACTCTCCGCAGCGAGGGAGAGCCCTCGCGCGCCAGTGAGGGCCCAGCACAGCCATAAATAAATAAAGGTATATGTTAAAAAACCCACATAACCTAGGTCTGCTTACTGTTTCATCTTGGGAGCTTGATAAATCTTTCTACCTGAATTTGTCTGTCCTTTTTCAAAACGTAGTAACCAGAGGAGTTGCTTTTTCTGTATCATGACAGATCATGTCTCTCATGTCAGATTAGTGTGTGCTGGGATGTCCTAAGCATCTGATGTGTCGGACTGTCAATAATCCTAGCTTCCGTTTCCTATCTTTCTTCCTTTTTCTCTTTGCTCTATCAAAGGTAAATTTATTCTTTTAAAAAATTTTTTTTAATTTTTATTAAGATCTATTTATTTTTGGCTATACTGGGTCTTAGTTGCCACACAGTGGCTTTGTTCAGTTGCAGCGAGCGGGGCCGAGTCTAAATTGTGGTGTGTGGGCTTCTCATTGTGGTGGCTGCTCTTGTGGAGCTCAGACTCTGGGGTGGTCACACTCAGCAGTTGCGGGGCACAGGCCAAGTTGCTCCACTGCATGTGGGTTCTTCCTAGACCAGGGATCAAACCTACGTCCCCTGCATTGGCAGGCAGATTCTTAACCACTAGGCCACCAGGGAAGTTCCTCAAAATAATGTTATGTATTTAATTGTGCCGGGTCCTGTTGCTGCGAGGGCTTTTCTGTAGTTTTGTACAGCGGGGGTTCCTCCGTAGTTGCAGTGTGTGGGCATCTCACTGTGCTGCTCAGGCTCTGGGGTTCGTGGGTTTCAGCAGTTTTGGCTCCCTGGCTCCAGCGCACAGACTCAGTAGCTGTGGTGCACGGGCTTAGTTGCCGTGTGGCTTGTGAGATCTTCCTGGACCAGGGATCGAACCCATGTCTCCTCCAGTGGCAGGCGGGTTCTTTACCACTGAGCCATCAGGGAAGTTCCACAGATAAATTTGTTCAGATCATAGTGTATCGCCTCACATTCAGTAGAGGGCAAAGAACTTTTAAACCATACTTCTCCCCAGTGAGCCACTGCATTTTACAGTTTAAGTAACTAGCCGTAAAAAAAAAAAGTACCTAGCAGTTCTCTCAGCAGCCCTTTACATTTAAGCCACAAAACCCAACATGGGAAAGTAGTCATGGTAGACACAACAAAATACTCTTCCTTAGGGCACTCTTATTTAATCAGTTTTCCAGCTCTGACACTTTTCAGAGCTGTGTTCTTGAGACCATAGTATTTCCCATGAAAAAGGAGTAGAAGTGTTACTTGATGATTTGAGTTTTGCCATTATGATCACCTTTCCTGAACTGTGTGCTTTTCAAATTCCTTTAGTCGGGTAACTATACTGTCTGTTTCTGATGTCTGAGGCTATAGATAGGATAACATGAAAATTAACAACTATAATAATGAAACATGATATGTATTAAATATACTTTTTCTGCCAATATATCCATGCTTTCCTGTCAAAAAATGGCTTTGGGAACCTTCTGTAGACCCTGAGAATGGGACTCTGGCCTTAACTGAGGGGGAGAAAAAAGGATGGAGAATGTTAAATATTAACGATTGAGGGCTAATATCTAACACAGAGGGGTAACCTGGGCTGGGAGTTAAAAGAGTGGCACTTATACCAGGGAAAGACTCCTCCAGGCGGCTATTTTGGTTCTTCTCCCTAACTCTTTGTATTACTACAAGGCTGACTTTTTAAGAATACTTTCCATACGGTCACTGCCCAGATTAGGAGCATGCTTCCTCTTCTCTTCTCTGTTCTTTTTCCTCAACCCCCTCTCTCCCCACTCTGCCCTGTCCAGTGCTTAGGTAGGAGAAGGGTAAGTAAGGTAGATGGAAGGGTGGGGGCATTCCTTCTAGAATATTTCAGGTGGCATAACCTTGTTTAACCGCCAGTATTTTTTTCCCCTTTCTCTCCCCTCCTACAGAAATGGAGGCAAACGACCATTTTAACTTTACTGGCCTTCCCCCTGCACCTGCTGCCTCAGGACTGAAACCCTCTCCCTCCTCAGGGGAGGGGCTCTACACTAACGGGTCTCCCATGAACTTCCCCCAGCAAGGGAAAAGTGAGTGTGAGGGCCATGTGGCCTGGGAGGGAGTGGGCATCATTGCTTTAGAGTGGATTGATGGGGTCAGCGGGCTCTCCTCTGGGTTGGCTACTTCACCACAACTCTCTTTTATGTCAGGTGGGAAGGGAGGAAGTGAATCCTCAGAACTCCAGCTGCTGGAGAGAAATCAAGCTTCTTAGAGCAAGTTCTAGGGGTTTATGGAAGAACTGCTGTTAGTTTTAAGGTTGGAAGAGATTAGAAAAATATACTGGCCTTTTCATCTTAGCTTGTTCTTCTGTTAGCCCTGTTCCCTGGCTACTGCCCCAAAGTGGTGAGGTGGCTACTGCTTCTGATAACCAGGTTGCACCCGTGAGAAAGAGATAAAGGGTCAGTCTTCTGAGAAACTGTTTTTAGAGGTTGGAGTAGCCGCCCCTGGGACTGTAGGTGGAGGCGTTGGGTGAGGGTTGGGATGTGTTTGCCTTTTAGTTTGTGCAGCAGAGAAGAGGGCAGATGCTTGAAGTGCGTGTGCCACTTCCTGTCCTTGTGGATAGAAGAGAGGGACAGGGAGAGTTTTAAGTTTACCTACTTCCCCAGAGAGAAACATCTGTAATTCCAGAAGGAAGTGCTGCAGCCAGGATCAGGTCTTCCGCTGGGTTAGGCTTGTCAGTTGCTCTCTGCAGTGGCTCTGCCAAGCACCTCTCTGCTCTTGCCTCGGTTTCAGTCAGGTCCTTTCTGGGAAGCGCATATGCTTCCCCCCTTCCTTGCAGCAGAGAAGTACTGCCGTAGGCTTATGCTTGACCACCACTCCCTCCTGTCTTCAGCAAGAGGGTTGCAGATAGAAACTCCCTCACACCCCACCTCGCCTGAAGCTCCCTTAGTATTTTGGTTTCTTTTATTTGATTGCCCTCCAGTCCAGAGGCTGCCATGGGTGTTGAAAGTTCAAGTCTGCAGTACTGGTCATGCAGAGATTCCACTTGGTGCCTGTTACCCTGTGGGGTACAGTGCCTATGGGGAGGGGCCAAGTCCAGTCTCTTCTGAGCTGGGATCTTGCTGCTGTGGTGACTGCAGATTCTATTCTTAGCCGAGCACAAAGTGCTGGATCTGCATGTGCCAGTGAGGTGGAGGCTGTCCCTTCTGGTGCCACCGTGGGGCCAGACAGGCACTGGGGAAGGCAGGGGGCGGGGGAAGGGAGTTCAGTCATGCCACTCCAAGGGGAGAATTCCTCCAGGGGATGAGGGTGGGGAAGAACGAAAGTCTTCTTGCATTCTTCAGGGGATTCTGCAGACAGTTTCATTTAGGAAAGAAAAAAAAAAAAACATTAAAAAGCCCTGAGCGTCAGCAGCATCCATCTCCCTGCTGGTCGTTTCTGTAGTAGGCCAAGAGAGTTCCCCAGCCCTCTACTCAGCAGCCTCAGCCGCAGTTGCTAAGCTTACATCCAGGAGCATCTGGGTTTGGTGTTCCCTGGAGACCAAAGAAACTGTAAATAGAGTAGAGGGGGAGTCCCCCACCCCTTCACCTTTGCTTTTTCTAGTCAGTGCTGTTCCTTTAGTAGAATTGATATTGTTACTTGCATATATATCTGACACTGACCCTTTTCCCTCCTTCTCTGCCAGGTTTGAATGGGGATGTGAATGTTAATGGCTTATCTACTGTATCTCACACTACTACTTCAGGGATTTTGAACTCTGCTCCCCACTCCTCCAGCACCTCACACCTCCATCACCCCAGCGTGGCCTACGACTGTCTCTGGAACTACTCACAGTACTCATCTGCCAATCCTGGCAGCAACCTCAAGGATCCACCCCTTCTCTCACAGTTCTCGGGGGGACAGTACCCACTCAACGGCATCCTTGGGGGCAGCCGGCAGCCTTCATCCCCAAGTCACAACACTAACCTTCGGGCTGGGAGCCAGGAGTTCTGGGCCAACGGTACCCAGAGTCCCATGGGGCTTAACTTCGACTCACAGGAACTCTATGATTCCTTTCCTGACCAGAATTTTGAGATGATGCCCAATGGACCCCCTAGTTTTTTCACCTCCCCACAGACCTCTCCTCTGTTGGGATCCAGCATCCAGACCTTTGCGCCCTCCTCCCAGGAGGTAGGCAGTGGCGCCCACCCTGATGAGGCAGCGGAAAAGGAGCTTACTGCCGTTGCGGCCGAGGGTGGTGCCGGCCTAGTAGGCAGCCTGGAGCTGGAGGAGGAGCGGCCAGGTATCGCTCGCGTGCGTCCGCGAGCTGGGCTGGGAGAGGGCGGATGGGGCTGTCGGGGCCAGTGGCTTTTTGAGGTGAGGAAAACGTCTTTCCAGCTCTCTGCAGTGGAGGCTGATTTGCATGTTGGTGATTAGCAGAGCCAAGTGGCTGGTGTTTTTGTGGCAGCAGCACCAGCTCGAGAGTGGGAGTGCAAATTATTTCAAGCTCATGCAGAGCTGCTGGCCTGGAGAGGGCAGGTGGGCGCACCCGAAACAGCCCCAGCAGACGCCCTGTGTCAAGAAAGGCTGCTTCTCAGATACAGGCAGGGGCTGGAGTATCAGCAGGAGGCACAGAGGCCAATTCAATTTCACTGTGGCAGAGCCAGGCTGGCTGCTAAAGTGGGCTGAGCCCTAAGTAGTGATTGGCACGTGAAGGAGGGAGGGACAGGCAGAGCACACACTGTGTCTCCTCAGTCTCCTTTCTTTTCTGTTGTCCTTGGCATGGGTACCTGTGTGGTCCCTCTCATCCTTTCCCTCAGAATATAATTTGCTGTTGACTCCAAGAATAAGGGGTGACCACCCTGTAAAATCACAGGATGTTTTCTCTGACACCTGTTCCCACTGGATGGGAGAAAATAGCTGAAAAGATGATGGGTTCTTATCTCAGACCCCACTCTTTTCCCTTTTTATCTGCTATAAGATCTTACACATCTTTGTTTAATCAAAGTTCTTGGTATTTTCAGTACCCAACATAGAACTGGCACCCATAAATGTTGAAAGAAGGATCATCCGTCCTTCTAGCAAAGATTGCCAACTGTAGCTGACTGAGCCGTTGGAGGCACTGACTCTGACCTTTGCCCTCTCCTGGGATATCCTAGAGCTAAAGATGTGTGGCTACAACGGCTCCGTCCCTTCTGTGGAATCATTACACCAGGAGGTCTCAGTCTTGGTCCCTGATCCCACAGTGAGCTGCTTAGATGATCCTTCACATCTTCCTGACCAACTGGAAGACACTCCAATCCTCAGTGAAGTCTCTCTTGAGTCCTTCAACACTCTGGCACCAGGTAGGCTTGGAGATTGACTCCCTTCAACCTATCCATGCAGAGGGTAACTGACTTATACCACCTAGAAGAGATAGTAAGCCAGGGAAAGTGTTTGGGAATTTGGGGCCCTGGGGCCTGCAGATGATCCTGTGGCAGATCACAGATTCATGCCCCTGGCCTGACTGCGCCAGTTGCACTCTGAGCTGAATTGGTTCATTTCCCACATTCTCTCCCAGTGTTCCTTTTGGCCAGGAGCCCTGGATAGGGACTTCTTACCACACAGTTGGGCTATTTGGGTTCTCACTAACTGGAAAGAAAACATTACGTTTTACCATACTGTTTTATGATAGATTCTAGAATTTTGTGTTGGTTTGTGGGTTAATAGAACCATTGCCTTTCCTTCCCTAATATTAGAAAGAACCTTCACCCCGTAGGAACTAGAATTGGATGTATTCACACTAATATTTCTTAAATCTCACTTCCTGATTTTCTACCCCTGAAGAGCCAGTGAGTGGAGGACTCTACAGTATAGATGACACGGAGCTGATGGGTGCAGAGGCCAAGCTGCCTCTGGAGGACAACCCTGTGATATCTGCCCTTGATTGCCCTTCCCTCAATAATGCCACGGCCTTCAGTCTCCTGGCAGATGACAGTCAGACTTCAGCCTCTATTTTTGCCAGCCCCACCTCTCCACCTGTCCTCGGGGAGTCTGTTCTGCAAGGTGAGTGAGGAGAGCTAAACAGAGTCCTGACCTAGGGAAAGGTGAACGTGCAGGCCCGAGGGCTGGGGGGTCTATGAGAACACCTTGCTGGGAGCTCAGGGGCCATGGGATGGTGTATGGTGGGACTGAAAAAAGGCATTCTGACTTCTGCTCTGTGCCCAAAAGAACGTGTGGGATAAGACTTGGAGTTTACCGGAGAAAGGAGCCCAGAGGCCTTTGTTGGCTCCAGGTGAAAGGTATTCAGACAGTGGAAGCAGTAGTCTTGCCCTTTAACCTTCATGAATGGTAGGGCAGGACAGCCAGAGGCCGTTTCTCTTTTTCCCATCCTAGGGGAAAGCCCTTGAAGTAACCTGGCTTAACTTAGTCCAGGTTTGTCTGAGTGGATTCTCTTGGTTTATAGGGTCATTTTTCCTTTATCATCCTGTCCCTTTGGATTCTAGATAATAGCTTTGACCTGAATAATGGTAGTGATGCAGAACAGGAGGAAATGGAGACTCAGGCTCCAGACTTCCCACCTCTGACCCAGCCAGCCCCTGACCAGTCGTCCACTGTTCAGCTGCATCCAGCAACCTCGCCAGCAGTCTCACCAACAGCCTCCTCAGCAGTGTCTCCAGCAGCCTCCCCGGAAATCTCCCCACAAGTCTCCCTGGCAGTTTCCACAGCAGCCTCTCCAGAAATCTCCCCAGCCATCTCCCCACCAGCCTTCCCAGCGGTCTCTCCAGCTTCCTCAGCAGCCCTCCCACCAGTCTCCTCAGAAGTCTCCTTGACAGCTTCCCCAGTGACCTCCCCAAAAGCCTCCCCTGCAGCTTCCCCAGCAGCTGTCTTCCCGACAGCCTCCCTAGCAGACAAGGATATCAGCAGTGTCCCTGAAACAACTGCTGACCTGGAAGACACCATTGTAGAAGGAGTCCCTCCCTCTGGGAGCGGTGAGTCTCTAGATTCTGTCCCACCCCTAACTGGTTCCAGGGAAATGTATCTGTCTCATGTGGCATTTAGCCCCTCCTCATTGACCTGTTGTTTCAGTATTTTGCTTGACCTCTTAACTTGGGTATCCCTGTCTTCCTCCCCCAGGTGATGTCCTGAGGAGACGTATTGCTACCCCAGAAGAAGTTCGTCTTCCCCTCCAACATGGGTAAATGCTCTAATTTGTTACATGCGTTGACCTTTGACACATTTAATGAATGATTCTAGGAGGAAGGGCAGGGAGCTCTCATCTGAGATGGGGGAGGAATGGACTAGACAAGAAGGGGTTAAAGGATAGTCATCTGCAATGATGATGTTTCTGGGCACGAGATGCTTAGGCGTTCTTTCTTCCTTTGTTGTGGTCTTCCTTCCCTCACCCATTCTTTCCTCATTTTGTGGCCACTTAGTTTTTTCCTCGAGGGGTAGTGCTGTTATCTTTTCCAAATTCGGCTGGTGGGTCTGGGGTTCAGGTGTCCAAATGAGTTAATTTGTCCTATTATGTTTGGAGAAGGAAGAGCAATGAATGGGGATTGGCTTCATCCCCATGAATTGGGATTTTTTTTTTTATGTACTCTAAGGGCAAGAACAGTATGTGACCAGAATGAACAAGCCAGCTAATACCAAGGGCTTTGTAGGAATAACTGCCTTCCTGATCTTCCCCACCCCCACCCCTCTAGGCTACTTGTGGTCACCAAGTCTGAGTTCTGCTTTAAGTTTTGAGAGAAAGATAAGGCTTAGTCTTAGAATAATCTGTTGCTCAGAACACAGAGTTCCTTACTAAACCCTGGCCTCTACGGAGTCATTTCATGGAGTCAGCAGTGAGTTTATTCTTCTGCTTGCCTCCCTGCCCTCTGTCATTTCTGCCTTTATTCTCTTAGGTCTATATTCTCTTTGCTGGAAGCCCAGTAATCTGTCCCGAATGGCATTAGGGAGGGGTTTCTGACTGCTCCCGTCACTGACTTTGTGCGGGGACGGGTGGAGGTCTGTCTGGGCTTGTGCAGTGTGGCGTGTTGCTTTCCGCTGAGGCACTGAGGGGCTTGAGGCTCAGGCCTGCTTTCTGGCCAAGCTTGTATCTCAGAATGGGCCTCTGCATCTACCTGCAGTTCTAGTGAGACAGGTGCGGGGAGGGCCATCTGCTTAGTGGGGTTGGCTTCTGGGTGGCTTAAGCGTGGGTAGGGGTGTGACCTGGCGGCAGGGCCCGTGTGCTTCTCTGGCAGATGGCGGAGAGAGGTGCGCATCAAGAAGGGCAGCCACCGATGGCAGGGGGAGACCTGGTACTACGGCCCTTGTGGGAAGAGGATGAAGCAGTTCCCGGAAGTGATCAAGGTAACGGGGCGCTCGTGGGCTCGTGTAGGAAAGCACAGGCCCCTCTTTCAGGCCACGTGGCAGCAGGCTGGCATTGTCTGCTCTGGGGCTTGTTCTGCCTGTGCTGCTAGCCACAGGGCATGGTAGGACTGTAACTTCACTGACGCCACTTCACCTCCTCCTCGTAGTACCTGAGCCGCAACGTGGTACACAACGTCCGTCGGGAGCACTTCAGCTTCAGTCCCCGTATGCCTGTCGGTGATTTCTTTGAAGAGAGAGACACACCAGAGGTGCACACCCAAGGGTTAAATATACTTTTGTAAATATGAGGAGGAGCTGGTGGACAAGCTGCAGCTTCCTCATGGGGTTTGGAGATTCTCAGGCATCAAATGGTTCAGAGGTTCTGGTGGCTTGCACGAACTTTGGTTGTAACAATGTCTTCCTTCTTACCTCAGGGCTTGCAGTGGGTACAGCTCTCAGCTGAGGAGATCCCATCCAGGATTCAGGCAATCACTGGGAAACGGGGCCGACCTCGGAACACTGAGAAGGCCAAGACCAAGGAAGCCCCGAAGGTGAAACGGGGCCGAGGTCGGCCGCCCAAGGTCAAAGGCGCTGAGCTGCTGAGCAAGACAGACACCCGCCTGCTGAAGAGACTGGAGGCCCAAGGTACCCTGCTGTTTCTCACCTTGCCGGTTCTGCTCACTCTCTGAGGTATCTGAAATGGTGGGGAATTGGTTCATGCCTGGGTTTCCCAGGAGTGGGACTGACATCTGGATGGAATGAATCTGAATTACCTTCCCCTCTCTGGAAAGCAGCCTCAGGGTCCTAGCACTTTTGTGGTTTTGTTTTTTTTTAAACAACCAGTTCCTTTCTTGAGTTTCTCTTTAGTGGAGCCTTGTGTGGGGAGGTGGGGGTGGTATCCCAGGAATAATTATGAAAGGAGAGGGCTTTCATGTCCTTTCTTACCATCTTTTAGCTTCTTACCTATCGTACTGGTCTGGCTTGTCTTGTGTAAACACTCATTGCCACCATCATAGAGGTTCAGAATTCACATCTGAATCCAAAAGATAATTGGTACTGTTTTAGTGGGATGGACAGGTAGGGAGTGTCTATAATTTTTCAGTACATATTGCACTTACCCTTATATAGTATGAAGAATGTGAAAGAATTTGGAATTAAGTATCTCCTATTCAGAATTCCAGCTCTGCCAGATTCTGACTGTATGACCTGGAGCCAAGGCACTTATATTTTGAAAGCCTCATAGTGGTTCATCTGCAGATAGTCTCTATCTAAACTCAGAGGCTTGCTGCACAGATGTGGTGGTGGTAGTATTTCTGTGCCAGAATAGGATAGGTACTGCCGTATCAAAAACATCAGCTCTAAAAACACTGTTGTCTGCAGAATCACACCTCAACATCATCTTCCAAAGGAGAAGAAATTCAGATATTTTAATGGAGCAAGACATAGGAGCTGAACATAGGCAATAACTGTGTCAGACTTGATAGGGTTCTACTAAAGTGTCCATTATCTGGGCCCTTCCTTTCTGGCACATTCCTGCTTAATTGGTGCTTCCAACTCAAGACCACCTGCTTTCTCTGGCAGTTTTTCTGTTTCCTTTCTTAGTTCTAAAATCAGCCTGTCAGGCAGCCTGGGAGAGGGACAGTCTGTAAGGCTGCTCTGCTGTTCTGGCCTCCAGGACCCTTTCTGAAGCAGTCTTAAGTTCCAGAGGCTGGTGCTTCTGGGCATGCGATGCCATTTGTGTTACCTCCATAGGAGGTTCCTCTCGTACATTTTTTTCTCCCAATGTTTTATGTATACTTTAAAAAAAAAAAAAAAAAAGACAGGCATCTAGTTTCTTCAGGGAGTTGTTTGGAGGCCAGCTTTGTGATAGGCATGTGCTGGTCTGGATGCTGGAGACTGGTCTGCCTGCCTCACTCTTCAGTTTTCTTTTTGCTGTCACAGAAACACTGAATGAGGAGGATAAAGCAAAGATGTGTAAAATCAAGAAGAAGATAAAGCAGAAGGTGCAGCGGGGAGAGTGTCAGACTACAAACCAAGGGCAGGTGAGGGACATCAGAGAGATTCCACAGTAGGTTAGCTTCTCCTACAGCTTCTCTGTCGTCTTTTCCATCTCCCACGCCTGCCACCTGCCATTTAGAGAATTTGGCTTGTTTAAAAATAATGTGGGCATCTCCAGGGTGAAAGAATTGATCCATTGCCAACCCCTCATCCCATGTCTCAGCTCTTCTCCTCAGCATCCTTGTTTGTTTTTGAATCCTAGCCCAAGCAGTGATGCTTTTAGAGTTTGAGGAGAAATGACTTCCTTTATGGTTTACAGGCCAAAAACAAGAGGAAACAAGAGACCAAGAGCTTAAAGCAGAAGGAAGCCAAGAAGAAATCCAAGGTAGGTACTCATATGCACAGGCATAACTTGGAAGTCACCAAACTGATTTTGCAAAACATGTGAGTTGGTCATGTTTTATAGTCATGTTTCTGGGTGTAAGATGGGGAGGATGGGGACCAGGGAAGGGTGGTGATTTGAGTCTTCACGGCACTCCTGATTTCTCTCCCCCTTGGGTGGACAGGCTGAGAAGGAGAAGGTGAAAACAAAGCAGGAAAAACTGAAGGACAGAGTCAAGAGGGAGAAGAAGGAGAAGGTGAAGATGAAGGAGAAGGAGGAGGCGGCCAAGACCACGCCGGCAGGGAAAGCAGATAAAGTGCTGGCCACCCAGCGGCGCTTGGAGGAGCGGCAGAGGCAGCAGATGATCTTGGAGGAGATGAAGAGGCCCACGGAGGACATGTGTCTGCCTGACCACCAGGTAGTGAGGGGCGAGCAGGTCCTGGAGGGCCGTCCGGGGAGACACTTGTGTTCAAGGAGGAGCCTCCTAGATGCCCAGGCTGTTGCCTTCCCGCGTGTTTGACAGAACACCTGCCGCTTTCACCCCCGCAGCCGCTGCCTGACTTCTCCCGCATCCCGGGTCTGCTCCTGCCGAGCCGGGCCTTCTCGGACTGCCTGACCATCGTGGAGTTCCTGCACAGCTTCGGCAAGGTGCTGGGCTTCGACCCTGCCAAAGATGTCCCTAGTCTGGGGGTCCTGCAGGAGGGGCTCCTGTGTCAAGGCGACAGCTTGGGCGAGGTGCAAGACCTCCTGGTGCGACTCCTGAAAGCTGCGCTCTATGACCCTGGCTTGCCCTCCTACTGCCAGGTGAGGCCCTTTCCTGGCTTCCGAGGGCTTGGGATCTGTGCTTTTCTCAGTCTTGCTTTCTCTGAGTTGAGCACATGAATGCCCCTTCCAGAGTGATCCAGACAGGCAAAGGGAGACACACACATGGTCCCCAAAAAGAGTAGTTTGACTTACAGTTTTTCGACTTCACAATGGTTCGAGAGTGATAGGCCTTCAGTAGAGGTACTAAGGTTTTGATTTTGATCTTTTCCTGGACTGGAGAAATGCGATAGTACACTCTCACGGTGCTGGGCAGCGAGTCAGCCATGCATGTCACTTTTGCAGCCATTCTATTCCTTACTTTCAATACAGTATGCAGTAGATTGTGTGAGATATTCAGCATTTTATTATTAAGTGGATTTGTGTTAAATGATGATTTTGCTTTCCTCTAGGCTAATTTAAATGTTCTGAGCATGTTTAAAGTAGGGTTGGCTAAGCTGTCATGTTCTGTAGATTAGGTGTATTAAATGCGTTTTCAACTTACCGTATTTTCAATTTATGATGGATTTTTGGGACATGACCCCATCATAAATTGAGGAAGATCTGTATACTACACACTCTCCCTTGTAATGTACTGCCTTTTTTCTTAGGGTCCTTCTCGCTGCTTTATGATTTTAGGTCCTGAGTCTCCGTTATTCTCTCCAGGGCCAAGTGGAGGAAGAGCTGTAGTTTTTTCCTGGTTTTGTTTTCCTCTCTTTTTTATTTTTCTTTCTGACCTCCCTCTGCTTATTTTATTCATTTTCCTTTAATATACTTTTCTTTTGTCCCTGTCCTTTTTCTTCTCTCATCTTATCCTACCAGCTTTCCTTCTTAACTTTTGCTATCTTAACCCCGTAGTTCTCTCCTACTGTATTTTCCTGCTCCAGATTGACTTGAATTGTTCCTCTTTCTCTCTCAACTCCTATTATGTTCTCCTCCAACAGTCCTTAAAGATCTTGGGGGAGAAGGTGTCTGAGATCCCACTAACAAGAGACAATGTATCTGAGATCCTGCGCTGCTTCCTCATGGCATATGGAGTGGAGCCAGCCCTCTGTGACAGCCTGCGCACCCAGCCTTTTCAAGCCCAGCCACCCCAACAGAAGGCTGCTGTCCTGGCCTTCCTTGTGCATGAGCTCAATGGCTCCACCCTCATCATCAAGTGAGTGGCTGGGGTGGGGATTGTTATCATGTGCCTTGGTCAGACTGGGGTAGGGGAGGGGTTTACCATCTAGAAATCCTGGGTGATGTGTGTCTACAGCCATGCTCTGGGCATGCTGGTGTGACCTGGGCCGAATCTCACTCCTTCCTGGGAGAGCGCGAGCCTCAGTCTGCCGGTCACCCAGGCTGGGCTCTAGGCTGAGACCCTCTCACCCTTGGACCCCGCTTCTGTGTGTGTTGACACTTCTCCCTCAAGACACTGTCCTGTTTCCCTGCAGCGAGATTGACAAGACTCTCGAGAGTATGTCCAGCTACAGGAAAAACAAGTGGATTGTTGAAGGCCGACTGCGGAGGTAAGGACAGGACAGAGGAGAGAAGGGGGAAGGGGCGAAGCATACCCAGGACTTCTGTTTGGAACTTGGTGTCCTTAGCCCCTCTCCTGGGGTTGAGACTGGTCCAGGGCCCAGGATGGATTGATTCAAGGTGTTCCTTTCGTGGCGGTATCATGTTTCTCACCACAGTTTCCCTTAAATTGTGTGTGTCAAGATTGAAAACTGCTCTGGCCAAGCGAACGGGGCGACCTGAGCTAGAACTGCAGGGGCCAGAGGAAGGCCTGGGGCGGAGGCGCAGCTCTCGGATCCTGGAGGAGACCAGTGGCATGGAGGAGGAGGAAGAGGAGGAGACTGCAGCTGCTGTCCATGGCCGTAGGGGTCGAAGGGATGGAGAGGTACTAGCCCGGACCGAGGAGAGTGGGAGGTGGAAAGCATTCTTTCTTTCTCTTGAATCTGATGATTCTCTTTTTCTCGGTGTCTACTTGTCTACTTGTTTCTTCTCCAGGTTGATATCACAGCATCTAGCATCCCAGAGCTAGAGCGCCAGATAGAAAAACTGAGCAAGGTATTGTGCTTCTAGCCTCCCAGGAGCTGGAGATAGGGGCTGGGTGGGAGTTGGTTACCTTATGAGTTGGGCCTAGATGGTATCAATTTTATAGGGAAGCTGAGAGCCATGCCCTTCTCCCATATACTGGACGAAGTCACCACTCTGACCCTGCAAGTGTGTTTTTCATTCATCTTCCTTTTCCACTGCCTACCCAGCGTCAGCTCTTCTTTAGAAAAAAGCTGCTTCACTCATCCCAGATGCTTCGAGCAGTCTCCTTGGGTCAGGACCGCTACAGACGCCGCTACTGGGTGTTGCCCTGCCTGACTGGTATCTTTGTGGAAGGAGCAGAGGGGAACTTAGGTAGGTGTGTCGTAGGACCCTGGTTCGAGTCCTGGCTGACAAAGTTAAGCGATTCCTTTTCCTCTGCCTAGCATCTTGGGCGTTTTTGATTGTGTGACAATCAGTTTAGTATGCTGTGGTTAAGAGCACAGGCTCTGGAGTAAGACTGCCTACCTTCTGCTCTGCCATTTACCAGCTGTGTGCTTCCATTTTCATTTGTGAGATGGAATTAATAATACAATGTATATGTCATAGGGCTATTGAGGGGATTAAAGTAAGTTAATAGAGTAATGACTTAGAATAATGTGTAACATAGCTGGTTCTCAATAAATATTAGCTTATATTTATGCTGATGATAATTACTTGGGAACATAGTTTTTCTTTTGCAGATACAATGCTGGTTGCCCTATAAGCATATTCCATTGCAGTCTCAAAAAGTAGGGGATTAAGTCCGAGAGAAAGTGTATGTCCTGTGTTTGTACACCCTCTTTCTTTCCCATTATATATCAGTGTGTGTCTTATGGTCTTCACTTTGCTTTACAGTTCCTGAGGATGTGATAAAGCAGGAAACTGACTCCTTAAAAGTGGCAACCCATTCAGCAACCAGCCCAGCCTCCTCCTCTCTGAAGAGGGAGTTACCTGGCTCCAGCACCTCTGCCAGTTCTCCTGCCCGGGCCCGAGGCCGACCTCGGAAAACTAAGCCTGGCTTTATGCAACCTAGGCACTTGAAATCTCCTTCCAAGGGTCAAGGTTCCGAAGAGCCTCAGACCCAGCTTCAGCCTGAAATTCAGTCCCATCCTCAGCTTCAGGCTCATGCCCAGCCCCAGCTTCAATCCCATCCTCACTCTCATAATGGGTTCCTGGAGCCAGAAGGCTCCCCACTGTCTCTGGGTCAGAGCCAGCATGACCTCAGCCAGTCAGCCTTCCTGTCTTGGCTGAGCCAGACTCAGAACCATGGCTCCCTGCTCAGCAGCTCGGTCCTCACGCCTGACAGCAGTCCCGGAAAACTGGACCCGGCCCCATCACATGCCCCGGAAGAGCCAGAACCTGACGAGACAGAAGCCAGCCCTGATTCTCAAGTTCCCTGGTTTAATTTCTCAGCCCAGATGCCCTGCATTGCTGCCCCTACACCACCCCCTGCAGTTTCTGAGGACCAGCCCACTCTTCCCCCTCAGCTACCTGCTTCTTCCAAGCCAGTAAGTAGCCAGAATTAGTGGTATGCACTTATATTCATCTGGCCACAGGCTAGGTTGCCTGACTGTGGGCTGTTGCCACGGTTGGGGGGAAGGGATGAGGCCAGTGGGGTCCTGCCAACATGAAAACACCCCCATCCATCACCTTGTGTTTCATCTCATTCATAGGTGAGCAGAGCCAGTGTCGCCAACTCCTGTTCTCCAGGGCCATTCTCTTCCACGCCTTTGCTGGGCATGGCTCCTAAAAGGCGAGCAGGAGATCCTGGAGAATCACCACAGAGCCCCGCAGGGCAGGGACAGCCGAAGCGGAGAGGGAGGCCTCCCAGTAAGTTCTTCAAACAGATGGAGCAGCGCTACCTAACCCAGCTGACAGCCCAGCCTGTCCCACCTGGTGAGTGAGCTCGGGACGGGATGGAATGAGGGTACAGGCAAGAGTGGCATCAGGTATGGACCTTGTAGTTCCCATTGCCCATGTTACACAAGTGAACTGTGTTCACAGAGATGCGCTCCGGCTGGTGGTGGATCCGGGATCCTGAGACGCTGGATGCCACGCTCCAGGCCCTGCACCCCCGAGGCATCCGAGAGAAAGCGCTTCACAAACACCTGAGCAAACACAGGGATCTCCTGCAGGAAGTCTGCCTGCGGCCCACAGCAGGTCAGGCCCAAGTGCAGGAGCCCAGGGCAGTTCTGAGCTGCTGCTGTGGGTAGTGAACAGCCTGACGGGGTTTTCCCTCTGCCTTCTGTCTTCTCAGACCCCATCTTTGAGCCCAGTCAGCTACCTGCCTTTGAAGAAGGGATCGTGAGCTGGACCCCCAAAGAGAAGACATATGAGACAGACCTGGCTGTGCTTCAGTGGGTGGAGGAGCTGGAACAGCGGGTGATCCTGTCTGATCTGCAGATTCGGGTACCCTGGGCTGACACTGGGTAGGGGGCTGTTGAGGAGAAGGTGTTAATCTCATTCACCCTGTTAGGAAAACCTGGGCTTCCCATTTTGCAAAGTGACCTCCCATGACCCTAAATGGGTCACATCTTTTTCTGTGCTTAATGTTCTTCCTTTATGATGAGTTTTATTTTTTTCTCCCACCTGCAGGGCTGGACATGTCCCAGCCCAGACTCCATTCGTGAAGACTTGGCCTACTGTGAGCACCTAGCTGATTCCCAGGAGGATATCACCTGGCGGGGTCGGGGCAAGGAAGGTCTGGCACCCCAGCGCAAAACTACCAACCCCCTGGACCTGGCGGTGACGCGGCTTGCTGCCCTGGAGCAGAACGTGGAGCGGCGGTACCTGCGGGAGCCCCTGTGGCCCGCTCACGAGGTGGTGCTGGAGAAGGCCCTGCTGAGCACGCCCGGCAGTGCCCCACAGAGCGCGCCCACAGAGATGTGAGCGCCCGCCCTCCGGTCCTGGGTCTTGGGGAGAAGGAGTCGATTTCATAAATCCTACTCCTCATCCCAAAATCACCCCTTTCTCCCATCAGATCATACGAGATCACCCCTCGAGTTCGGGCCTGGCGCCAAACGCTAGAGCGATGCCGGAGCGCGGCCCAGGTCTGTCTGTGCCTGGGCCAGCTGGAGAGGTCCATTGCCTGGGAGAAGTCCGTCAACAAAGTGGTAAGAAGCCTGGGGAGCTGAAGAGGTGGCCGCTGGGATGAGTGGGGTGAGTGGCAGGCAAAGAGGTTTGAGGGCTCACCCTGACTCCTCACAACCCTGGTCCAGACCTGTCTAGTCTGCCGGAAGGGTGACAACGATGAGTTTCTTCTACTTTGTGATGGATGTGATCGTGGCTGCCATATTTACTGCCTTCGGCCCAAGATGGAGGCTGTCCCAGAAGGAGACTGGTTCTGTTCTGTCTGTCTGGCCCAGGTACGTCTTCTGCTCTCTCATTCCACTCCCAAGCAGAGCAGAGGTTTTCTTTCTCATCCCATTTACCACCAATCTTAAAAATATCATTCTTACCATGCCTTCCATCTCTCCTGGGAAAAGGTTCCAGATGACATGCTAGGAGACCTGGGTTCTGGTCCTTTTTTGCACAAGTCACTTAAATTCTACCACCTTAACTTGCTTTCCTTATAAAATGGGAGTGATTATACTTTCCTTTTCACATAACCTGAAAGGGTGAGTAATAAATTCACTGACTTACGCATGAAAGTATTTTGAAACCTTAGTCACACTCAGACAGGTGGTACTGTGCTAGGTCACTCAGTCCTGTCTGACTCTTCTGCAGCCCTGTGGACTATAACCCGCCAGGCTTCCCTGACCATGGAATTCTCCAGGCAAGAATACTGGAGCGGGTTGCCATGACCTCCTCCAGGGCATCTTGCTGACCGAGAGGTCAAACCCACGTCTCCTGCATTGGCAGGCGGGTTCTTTACCACCTGTGCCACTTGGGAGGCCCCCAGACAAGTAGGGACCGTGACAAAGTGGAGAGCAAGCAGAGTACGCATCTCTCGCTGCAGCTGACCTCACTTTTTTCTCATCCTCAGCAGGTGGAAGGAGAACTGACTCAGAAATCTGGTTTCCCAAAACGAGGCCAGAAGCGAAAAAGCAGTTATGTGCTGAACTTCCCAGAGGGTGACAGCCGCCGGCGCCGGCTGCTGCCAAGGGGCCGGGAGAGCCCAGCAGCGCCCCGGTGCTCAGAGGAAGGGCTGTCCCCCTCGAAGCGGCGGCGCGTCTCCATGCGGAACCATCACAGTGATCTCACGTTCTGCGAGTGAGTTGAGTGAATTCTGGGGACAACCAGCTCTATGTTTTCCAGAGTAGAGGGCTAGGAAGGGTGTGTGATTTGCTTCCTGACAGTGTATCATCACTGTCTGTTTCATAATAGGATTATCTTGATGGAGATGGAGTCCCATGATGCAGCTTGGCCTTTCCTAGAGCCTGTGAACCCACGATTGGTGAGTGGGTACCGGCGTATCATCAAAAACCCTATGGATTTTTCCACCATGCGGGAGCGACTGCTGCGGGGAGGGTAAGTAGAGCTCGTTGGCTCTCCTGGCTCTCCTGCTCCTGCCACTGCTGGCGCCCCCGCCGACAGCGCTGTCTCCACCCCTGCCCAGGTACACCAGCTCAGAGGAGTTTGCCGCCGATGCGCTCCTAGTGTTTGACAACTGCCAGACTTTCAATGAGGACGATTCTGAAGTGGGCAAGGCTGGACACATCATGCGCCGCTTCTTTGAGAGCCGCTGGGAGGAGTTTTATCAGGGAAAACAGGCCAATCTGTGAGGCATGGGAGGTGGGGAGTCACCTTGTGGCATTGCCCCCTGCCCTCCACACAAACCCTGCCGTTCTCACCTGCTGATGCTGCCCTGGGTCCAGACTCGTCAGAGGGAGAACCCTGGTTCTGGACCTCGACCTTGGCAGTGCCCTACGTCTTCTCATCCTTACACCCTCTCTCCCTCTCCTCCTCTTGTTCCTCAAGTAAGAGGGGCAGAGATGAGGTCCTTCTGGACTGAAAGCCAAAAAAGAAAGAAAAAATAATTTTTCCTTTCTGTTTTATTTCCTAATTAAATAAGAGGAGGAGGAAAGAAGCCCCTACTTCCTCCTCCCAGCTTCCTCACCTTCCCTGTATGTGCCCCAGCATTCTGGGGCTATTTAACAATAGCAATAGTTCTAGTGAATGTGTGAAACCGAGAAACACTCTGTACTGTGTGTGGACCCGCAGTGACGGCCAGTAAAGTGGACTTAACTCCCAAGCGTGTCGAGCCGGACACCGGGCCCTGAACATGCTGCTTCCATGCTCAGTCCCCCTGCTTCTCTCTCTGTCAGCCCCCTCTCCCCTTCAGATCTGTCTCTCATCCAGTAATGTAAAACTATTGTGTACGGGTTCCTCCATCCTTTTCCCTTCCCCCAAATCTTTTTTCCCTTCAAAGGAAAAAGTTCAGAGGTCCCTGTCTTTCTCTCTGTCCTCATCTTCCTGCCAATAGCTAGCCCCTCGATAATGTTGGATACTCCTCAAATGCTGAGTTTCTAGCCTTTTCTGAAACTCAGTAAACTGGGGAGAGGGCCGGGAGGCACCCTGGACCCTGGGCCTCCCAGCCTCCTTCCCCGCCTCTTACCCAGACCTCCCTCTTGGGAACTCCTCAGGGACAACTACTGCTGAGTCCGGGCACACCCCAAGATGGAGGCCAGGCAGCAATCGACTGGCCTCGGAGAGAGAGAGAGGTGTGTGGGTGTGTGTGTGTGAGAGAGAGGATGTGATTGTGCCCCTGTTTCTGGTGGCATCCATTCAGTTTTTTCCCAAGTATCTGTTTCCCATTGTTTCAAACCATTGAAACACCTTTCTCATTGTTTCAAACGATCACGTTGTCTTTGGGAAACCACAGGAACAGTTTTTCTGGGTCAAAGCTGTGTCTCTTCCCTCTCTCCCAGTCGTTTCTGTTCCAGCCTCTTCAAACTGTGCAATCTTCTAGCAGGAACACCCTCTCCTTTCAGCAGCTCTGAGTCCTAAGCTTTTGCAGGGAGAGGGGTAGAACTGGATCTTTTCCTATTCCCATGAGCTTCTGTGGGTTTAGTTGTGCTTTCCTTCCCGTAGCTACTTTATATCCCGGGACCCCTTCCCCAGTAGCAGAGACCCCAGAGCACAAGTGAGTAGGGAGGAGACGCTCTGGGTCCACCACTGCCCCACATGTGACTATGCCTGTTAAGCCCCGACATGTGAGAGGAAAGCTGCTAACTCCCAGCTATAGCCATGGGCCCCTGGCCCCCTGCTTTCCTGCTCAGCAGAGCCCCTCCCATCAGAGATTACGGGTACTTGCACTGGGGAGGTGGCTGCTGGCTGGCCCAAGCAGAGAGCTGAGGCATCCCAGAAGTGTTCCATTGGTGGGAGAGGGGGTGCCGGGTGAGGGGGAGCATTCCTGTGCTTCGAGCAGCACTGAATAGCCACTGAAGGGGGCGGGGGCATGTAGGTCCTGGGGCGACCCCTTTCTTTCTTTATGCCCCTACTCCCCCATAGCCTATCTCTAAAGTCGCCTTTTCTGTCAGATAAACCTCAGAACTTTTAATTTTATTTGAGATTTTTTTTTTTTGCTTTTAAATAAGAGGTGGATTGAAGAATATTTGAATTGACTTTATATTATGCATAAATATTTATATTTTATCTAAATAACTGCTCTGTAACAAACTTTGTGTTAGTCAGGCATTTGGAACTGTTATAGTTGGGGGCTTGTCTTTTTCCCCACGGCAGTTTTCCCCAGTATAAAATGTTCTAGATTAATTTTACCGTTGGAGGTTAGGTGGACGGGGGAGTGAAGTTTCAGTTGTTCCTGCTCTGCGTTCCTCTCCCAGCTCCATCTCTTTCCCTAGGGACCAGGCGCTCTGAAGGTGGGGTGGAGTCCTAGCCTCGGTTTGGAATGGGGGTTGATGGGGGGTGGGGATAGGGCTGATCAAAGGGGCCATTTCTCTTTCCTTTCCTCATCTTCACTGCCCCTGAGCTAGGTGGGTTTTCTCTTCTTGACAAGAGTGTTGATAGGGAAGGCAAGTGTTAAAAGTGAATAAAACCCACCCCCGCCCCTTTGTTTCCCTTCCCCCATCAGTCTGGTAACAGGAAGAAACCACACCATCAACACCAACAATCTCCACGTTCCTTTTACAACAAAAGGGACTTGACTTTTTATATAACCAAATGTGGTGTTTTAGTGACTTTTTGATAATGTACAGTTTTTTGTGAATTTAAATTTATTTCTTTCTATATTTTTAGGACCAATCTCATTTTTAATAAGGTAAAAAAAGGAAAAAAAGTCTAGAGATTAAAAAAAAAAACTCCTGTTTTTGCCATGTGATGTTCCACAAGTGCAGCTGTAGAAAAGTGCTTGTCAGTTGAATAAAAACCACATTTGATAGAGACTCAAAAGACTCTGTGTATTTATCTTCCTTCAACATAGGTTCTTGTAATTGCCTAAAGGGGAAAACCGGGTGGTGTCAGGGTGAGTATATGACTGGTTTGATGGAGAAGACAGTTCTCCAGTGCAGGCAGGAGAGCAGTGTGCCCCTAAATGTCAGCATTTCTCTCGCAACCTCCAGGCTTGGCCCTTCTTTTTCCAGGAGGCGTCTAGGGCAGAATTTGTGTTCATGTGAAGGAACAGGTGCTTCTGGCTGAGGTGCTGTGACAGGGCTCGCGTGCGCTGAGTCCCTACATTGTGGGGCGTGGCCTTGTGCTGTCTGTCCTCCTGATAACAGGAACTTTTTCTGTTGTGCTCATCACCACCTTCCCCAGCTTCCCAGCCATGGATAAAACACCACGAGGCAGACTTTTGTGTTTTATTTCACAAGTTGAAATAAGACAAAGTTCTACCAAATTATAGGGAAGAAACATGAGAATACCAAGGGTCAGGAAAATAAGAATGGGTAGCACTGGCACAAACATGGCAAGAGTATAAAATTAGAAACCTCTGGATAAAGAAAAAATGTACAAGGATGTGTTTTGAGGATAATTAGACTTATTTCCTGTCCAAGGTGGTAAGTGCGTGCAGGAGTACACTCGTCACCCCCGAAATTGTATGTGTTGGGGGATGCAGACACCAGTAAATGTTGGGAGAACTTTTTACAAGCTGGGAAAGCTTATCACACTGAAGGCTGGAAGTTTTATTTTGGTGACCCTCTAACTGGAATAGGAGAAGAAGGAATATCTGTTTTCAGCCCCACAAAAACCTCAGATGGCCACTTTGGTGCCTGCTCACCTTCTCAGCTAGCGGCAGCCACTGGGAGACTTAAGTGGTAAGCTCTGCCCCAGTGCTGGCGTTCCTGGGGGCGGCCCCGAGCACTGACAGCCTAAGCAGCCGTCACTTGGCTGAAGACTTCACACTATTCTAGGGTGATAAATGAGGTAAAAGTCTCAAAGAAGACATTCCAGAAATAGAAATAATGAGGAATTTTTGCATTTGATCGTGAGCCCTTTCTAGCCCCCAGCTTCCTAACCCTCGTGAAGGGAAGGACGGTGAAGGAAGGAGACACGTGTAAACCACGGGCCTGTGCCCGTGCTGAGCCATGGAACCGTGAGGTAGGTCTGTAACGCGGACGAGGAGGTTGTGGGCCACACCTGGGTTCATCTGAAATGCAAGGGGCCAGGCCGCGGAGCAGCCGCAGTGGTCAGGGCTGAGAGGGCACCTACCTCTCTGATTACTAGTCTCGCGGGGAGCACCTCTAGGAGGGTGCCGCAGAGCTCAGCAAAGAGGAGGAGGGCGAGAGAGCTCACAGGCCTGGCTCAGCTGTCGAAGGAAGACCCTCCTACGAAAGGAAAGGGTAAAGGCTGGGTGAAGGCGGGATCTGCTAATGCCTGGACGGAGTCAAGAGCAGGTAACACAGAAATGGCATAGTTGGTTTAGGAGAGAATCAGGAAAGGTCAGTGTGGCAAGGCTCAAGGTTAGACCTAGCCCTTACAGCCTGGCTGGCACAGTAGCACCCCTTTGAAGCTGGTCTAGCAGAGCCGGGGCCAGGTTTAGACTGAGGAACTGACCCCAGTGAAGGCCAAGGCCGAGGCGGCCGCGACAAGCCGCCGTCAGCGCAGCGCCGCTGCTCTCCCGGGAGGTGGCGCCCGTGCACAAGACGACAACCTCGGGGTTTTCAGAAGTTTACATCCCATTCCAGCAAGCCCTCTCACTTCACCTTTGTGGAGCAAAGTAACAACCCACAAACAGGCGCCCCAAACGGCAGACGCTGAAGCAGCAGGGGATACGCAATGCAGGCTCCCAGGGGCTAAGTGAGCCCACTGGTGGGTAAGTCAGGAGAAGGATGGAACTGGGCTGAGGTGGCCCGATCCAGGGAGGCTCAGAAGAGCAACCAAGCCTGGTCCTCACACTAGGTTAGGGTGCACGTAATGTCCCCCTACTACCCCATGACTCCTGACAAGGGGTATTTATTTCCTCTTCAGAGCCACTAGGCTTCCTAGTCTGGGCAGCTCTTCCAATCCTTTGTTAAAAATACTCTACATCTCCCCTAACCTCAACCCACACCCTCCTCCAAAAAGCCTCGGGTCTGAGTACCCAGAGAGAGAAGCGCAGTAATGATATTGGCATGAGGTGGGACAGGCGGGCACTAAGCCTAGTAAAGGACTAGATCACCGGAGAAAGTGACTCTAGTATGTTCTATCTGACTGAAAAGAGAGAAATGCAAAGTAGTAAAATATTTTAAGAATGTCATGAGCACCATAATGAGCAGGGGTGAGATGTGAAGTACAGGCAGAGTATGACCTGGGCCCCATGAAGACAGGATTCAGAAAACACCAGCATCGTTTAAAGGGCCCAGCCCAAGGCTATGAGCCTGAAGACCCCCGACAGTTCCTCAGCAGCACCGCTGCCCCCAGCGGGCCATTTCGAGAGAGAGAAACTGGCCCTCATTCCTTCTCTCCTTTTTCCACTCACTCACCCATGTTATGAACTGTCAGAAATGAACTAACAATTAGGGGGAAAGCATCATGGGTGTAACCCAAAAGGGTCCAAAGGAAATTCCATGATACCATCAACCACTACAAAAATGACTTCAAGCTCTCACTCCATCATGTCCCACGCCCAAACCTGCCCCAACCAGAAACATTCATTAATAAAATCCATTGAGCAGGTTCACATGAGGGAAACGCACAAAAGGTAACTTCACAATTTTAACCTCTGAGCCACCAGGAAAGCCCACAAGGTAACTTCACAATTTTAAAGCAAAACAATGCAAAGTAAAAGCCATTTAAACATTTAAATAGAGAAAGTAGAACCAAGAATTCTGAGAGGCAGAGAAGGGGCAGCAGTAATGTCAACAACAGCTTCTACACAGGAAAGGCCCTCATTTCTCTAAGTGAAGTTGCTCAGTTGTGTCCAACTCTGCAACCCCATGGACTGTAGCCTACCAGGTTCCTCCATCCATGGAATTTTCTAGGCAAGGGTACTGGAGTGGGTTGGCATTTCCTTCTCCAGGGGATCTTCTCAACCCGGGGATCGAACCTGGGTCTCCCGCATTGCCGGCAGATGCTTTAACCTCTGAGCCACCAGGGAATCATTTCACTAAACCTCCTAACAAAGCAAGGTTCCCCCAAACTACTATTAGTTAAATGAACAGGAGTCTAGACTTTTTTCTTTTTCTTCAAGGCCCTGACGAGATCTATGTTGTACTTTCCTGACTAAGGACTAGAGGCTCAGGAACAAGAGCTGCCTGCCCAGGCAAACCCTCCCGTAAGCTTACTGGACTTGGGACTGTTTGAAATCAGATAAACCCTTCCTGAGGTGGGACGTACCCGTGAGAAAACTGTGGCCATTTTGTCTTTGCTATTTCCCATGTCACCCACCATCCCTACCTACCGTCTGCTACCTCCACGCCGCCCCCTCGGGATGCACAAGGGGACACTCGGGACAGGAGCACGAGAACTCTCAACCCTGTGACGGGTGAAGGGAAGGGAAAGCTGGGCCCAGGCTCTGCACAACTGACATCGCAGCTTCTCCCCGTCCTCCATTCCGTCATCGGGCTGGCTGTCTGTCTGGGGGAAATGCACCTGGCCTGCAAGTGAAGGGGGGCGGCACTCTCCTTTCCGCGCAGAAGGGAGTGACTGGGAAGAGGAGGTGCAGGACCTACTTCCCAGGGCAAAGGCTTCCTCCGCCCCGTCTGCAGGCGCGCGGTCAGGTCTTGCGAAAGGAGATGGGGCTGAAGAGCAAAACAAACAGAGCCTTGCTCTGAAGGGCTCCTGAGCTCGGGAATACGGAGATGGGATGTATTGCTCTTTTCTCTCCTAGCTCCCTGCTGCCCTTCCACAAGGAAAACTATGTTTGACATCCTGATTCCCTGGGAAAGGGGCCCAAATGCTCTGGACAGTTACAAAGAGCTCTGTCCTTTCCCACCCCGCCTAGCGCACAGAGACCAGTCCCCGCCTCATCCCCTCAATGTGTGTGTGCACGTGTTCGGGGGCAGCCCTCGCTGTATACACAGAGGTGCCAAAGGTCAGCGCCTGAGGAAAACTCAAGAACCTCAGCTCTCTGTCTCAACTAGCTGCCTGGACGTCCAAAGGCACTGTGTCCAGGGCTGGGAGTTGACCAAGTCCTCTGGTACACAGGCGGGCTCGACACCGCCTTCATCGAGGTCTCCTTGCCGGGCACTACTGACATCCTGAGCCAGCGGATTCTCTGGTAGGAAGCCAGGTCTCCCCTGGGCGCTGTAGGATGGGCGGCAGCACACAGCCTCGCGCCCAGACACGACCGTGAAAACGGCCTCCAGGGGACAAAGCACCTCTCCGAGAGTCACTGGTCCAAAGGCGAAGCAGCTGATGGTCCCCAGTGGGGAAGGAACCTAAGTGGATTCAGCACGGTCACAAATGCAAGGGCTCTGAGCATGGCGACGACATGCGACAGGGAAGACGGGGCCCTGAGACCCAGGGCAGAAAAGATCTTCAGGGAAGCAGAAAAGCTGGTGTTCCTGAAACGCTGTAGCTGGGGAAGACGCCTTCTCAGAGGGTGTGGTGCTGGCCTCAGCAGTGAGAAGAATTACAAGTCAGTAGGTCTGTTCCTCTGGAACTTGCCAGGGAAAACCTAGTCTTCATCCCAATGTGGATCAAAGATGGCTTCCAAAGGCTGTGGAACTGTCTCCTTGGTCAGCCGAGGTCAAGGCCCTGCTTCCGGAAGGGCAGAGGCAGGAAAAGCCGCTTCCACTGCCTACCTAGGGTTCTAGGTTCCTAGCCCCGCCCCTCCAAATTCCATAGGAAGTCTCATCCAAAAAAGAAATCCACAAAATTAAAAGCTGTAAAGAGGTTAAAGCAAGCAGGTTCTGCTGTATGGAAAAGAGAAAAAGAACAATCTGGATGAGAAAAAGCAAGCATAAAATGTATGTGAAGGAGATGGGGTGCATGATCTCAGAGCTTTATAAAACAAAACATTCAAAGTCTGTGTATTCTTTCACACACCTCCCCACAAAAAAGGTCCATTGCTAACTTCAGAAAGAAGGGCCCACGCGGGACCCCATCAATGTGCTAGCACCACATCTTTTTTTTTTTTAAGAAATACATTGTTTTATATAAAAAGAAAAGCCCTCGCAAGTAAGTCCAACACATCAAAAATGGTTTTTCACAAAGATGAGAAGTCCCAGGCACCAGTCTCTTTGGCGTAGGATTAGAGTATATTGCAGTTAAAAGGGAAACAGCAAACTTTCTTCACAAAGGAAAAAAGGTTCCTGACGTCCTCGGCTGCAGCGACACCACAGGGGCCGCCCCTCCCCAGGCTCCACCGGCGGATGGAAGAGCGGAGGGCGGGCCTGCAGGGCTTTCTCTTCCCGGGCCCGGGCCTGTGCAAACCGACCGCCGTGTGCGTCCGCAGCTGGGCCCCCGGAGCGCCGTACTCCCGGTCAGCCCTCTGGAGTCTGGAGCATCAGCATCTCCCAAATTCCTTTATATTCCACAAAGGCGGGCAGGGAGACCCTAAAAGAGGCGTAAGCCAGAGAGGGCGGGAGGGGCAGTGACCGCGTGAGAACCGGTCCACCCGGGCGGCTGGCGGCCCGCGCGCCTCTCACCGCCGTCACTTGCTGAACGGGAAGGGGTAGACGCCGTGCTCCGCGGGCGCGTCCACCGGCGCCGGGTTCTGCTGGCCGCCGCTCTCCTGCACCAGGGCGAGGCGTGCGTCACCGCGCGCTCCCTCCCCGCACCAAGCCGAGCGCGCGCCACACACCTGCCCGCGTGCACGCGCGCCACACACCTGCCCGCGTGCACGCGCGCCACACACCTGCCCGCGTGCACGCGCGCCACACACCTGCCCGCGTGCACGCGCGCCACACACCTGCCCGCGTGCACGCGCGCGCGCGCGCACTCACAGCGCCACGCCCCCAGCTTCGGAGCAGCCTGTCCTCATCCCAGGGCACGCGGTCAACGCAAGCCAGCACCTGGGATGAACGGCTGCCCGGCTAAACGAGAGGAAGGGCCCCGACCGCGGGCACTGCCAAGTCTCTCCTGCGCTCTTCACACACCCACCAGCTACATACGAACGCAGAGTCAGCCGCACTGCCAGAGGAAGACTCTGACCAGTGGAAAACCTGCCTCTGATCACCTTCCAGTCTTCAACCCCGGAGACAATAACGCTCTTACCTCCGCTGAAACGCTGGAAGCGGGCACCGGCGTGTACTGGGAGACGTAAGCCCCCTGCAGAGCTGCAGCGGCCGGCACGTACTGGAACGAGACGCATTGACAGGCTCGGAGCAGTGATCCTTGGCTACCAGTAAAACACCTGGGGAGCTGGAAGTGCCTGTGTTCCCTCTCCAGAGAGGCTAACCTAACTGTGCTTTTTAAAGCACTCGATGACTCTGCAGTACGCTGGCTGAGACAGACTTCTCCTTACACGGCGGCTCTCCGCCTCCTCCCCGTCTTCTGCTTTTTCTCAGCGCACAGCCCTCTCTGCCTTAAGCACTCCTCCACAAACCAAAATGCACCCGAGCTTCGAGAAACCTAACAGGCTTGGCCCATTCTTCCTATTACTGTTCTGATAAGGCTTTCAGGAAATGTGTGTGAACCCCTCCTAGATAATACGTAGACAGAAGCACTGATCCTTTAGTTACATGAGTAGGAATCAGTTAGAACAAATGAGTTTCAGAGTAGCAGGCTACATTCCTTGCTCACAGACTGACCCTTTTGCAGTCCATCTCCTTTTCGGAGTGTGTCCTCGATGACAGTGAAGTGGTCCCCATCCTCAGCCCAGAGTGCTTAAACCTAAGAGCCTCGCACAGGCGCCCCTTATGTGGCAGGAGTTTGTAAGGGGAATATCCTGCCTTACCGTGCCAGTGCTGCTGAGAGAGAGGTGGCCCAGCTGCTGGGTCAGAGGTCCCACCATGGAGGCAGGCTGCAGAGAAATGGGATGGTCCCCTCCTGGTGTCAGAACTGAACCCTAGAAGCAGCAGCAAAGGGCAGTTAGTTGGCAGCATCCTGTGAGGCTGCAGGAAGCAGTGGTTCAGAGACCAGAACCGCTGATGACAGACATTTACAAATCCTGGAAAATGACAGGCAAGCAACCACCCGGCCCTGCAGGAGCATGCACTCTGCCCGCCGGTCTGGAGGCATCCTGCTCTAAGAACGGGAAACTCACAGATTTCAGATCAGACACCTGGTTACACAGGAGAATGAGCCAGGACTCACACCCACACCTCCTTGCATCAAACCCCACTGTTTTCTTTTACGTCAAATTGCCGCTTTGGCTTTTGCCCACTTCTGAACACTCACTGAGGGCTGCATGAGGTATGACGGGTGGTGCATCCAAGACGGGTTAGGTGCTTGTAGAGGAGATGTCTGAGTCACTCTCTAATGCAAGCAAAAATAAACAAAAATGTTAACTTCCTGGAGACTATTATTTCACCCAATGATCTGAGAATTTTCAGCAAAACACAACCAAGTTTGGAGTGTGGGGCTTCCCTGGTGGCTCAGATGGTAAAGAATCTGCCTGCAAAGCAGGAGACCTGGGTTCGATCCCTGGGTGCGAAAAATCCCCTGGAGAAAGGAAAGGCAACCCACTCCAGTGTTCTTGCGGGGAGAATTCTATGGACAGAGGAGCCTGGCAGGCTACAGTCCATGGGGCCGCAAAGAGTCAGACACGACTGAGCGACTAACAATTTCAACCTCAGTGCCCCCTTAGAAAATAGAAATATTTAAGGATATTTTTAAAATATTAACTCTTTCAGTTCAAGTAACCCAATTTTAAAATGGGCTAAGAATCTGACTAGATATTTCTCTAAGATACACAAACGGCCAACAAGCACAGTCAAAGGCTCAACATCATGTCACTGCCGCACTGCGCTTCGTCACTCAGCTGTGTCCAGCTCTTTGCGACCCCGTGGACTGTGGCCCACCAGGCTCCTCTGTCCCTGGGATTCTCCAGGCAAGAATACCAGAGTGGGTTGCCATTATCTCCTCCAAGGGATCTTCCTGACTCAGGAATCAAACCCGCATCTCCTCCATTGTAGGCAGATTCTTTACCGCTGATCCACCAGGGAAGCCCCTAGTCACTAGGGAGATATAAACCAAAGTCATACCCACTGAGATGGCTACAGTTTTAAAAGGACTGAATAACAAACGTTATACACTGCAGGTGGGGACGTAAAATGGTACAGTGACCTTGGAAAACAGTCTGGCAGTTCCTCAAAAAGTTAAACGTAGAGCTAATAGGTACTGAGCAATTTCACTCCTAGGTATATACCCTAGAGAAATTAAAACATACGTCCACACGAAAATCGTGCACAAAAGTTCATAGCAGTATCACCTAATAATACTATGAATATTATTATTCATAAGAGCCAAAAAGTAGAAACAACTCAAACGACCATCAACATAAACAGATAACAAAATGGGGCGTGTCCACACAGCGGAACATGATTCAGTTGTAAAAGGAATGAAGCGCTGACACATGCTACACGTGAATAAACTTCGAAAATATGCTCAGTGAAAGAGCCCAGACCCAAAAGACATTTACTATATGCTTCCACTTTTACAGTACGTCCAGAATAGGCAAATCTATAGATACAGAAAGTGTATGAGTGGCTGCCAGGGGCTAGGGTGAAGGAAGAATGGGGAATGACTACTAATGGGTACAGAGTTTCTTTCTGAGGTAGTGAAAACATTCTGGAATTAGATAATAGTGATGGCTGCATAATTCTATAAATATACACTACTGACTAGTATACTCTAAGAAAGCAAACTTTTATAGTCTGTAATTTATATCTCAACTTTAAAAGAAAAAAAGCAATGAGAAGCTAGAAATGCATCTTGATAAACAAGTAGGTCTATTCCACAAATGTAGGGATTGTTCAAAATCAGAAACTCTACAAACATAAGTCAAAATTGAAGGAAAAGTCAGTGTAATAGTAGATGCTGAAAAGACATTTTATAAAATCCAACAGCCATTTACTTAAAAAAAAAAATCATGAAGTAGGGAATTCCCTGGAGGTCCAGTGGCTATGACTTAGAGCTTTCCCTGCCATGACCTGGGTTCAATCCCTGGTTGGGGAACTAAGGTTCTGAGGGCCGAGAGTTACAACCAAAAAAACAAATTTTAAAAAATATCACAAAGTGAAACAGATACTGAAAAGAAACTACTCACATATATTAAAGGCTATTACCAAAAACTTAGCTGCAAGCATTAACACACATTGAAAACACTGCAATTATGGTGACCTATTAGGTAGCGGAGTCAAAGAGATACAACTGGGATACAACTGGCATAAAATCGAAATGGAGAAGAGAACTATTATTTTGCATCAGTGATATAACTGCATACCTAGAAAACCTGAGAGTTAAAAAGTTACTAATAGTAATGAGAGGATTTGCCAAGTGAGCTGTGTACAAAACAGACATAAATCAAACCCCTCTCCTCGGTGCATCAATAAGCACCTAAAGATGATGATAGAATGTCTGCTGCTGCTGCCAAGTCGCTTCAGTTGTGTCTGACTCTGTGCGACCTCATAGACGGCAGCCCACCAGGCTCCCCCGTCCCTGGGATCCTCCAGGCAAGAACACTGGAGGGGGCTGCCATTTCCTTTTCCAGTGCGTGAAAGTGAAAAGTGAAAGTGAGGTTGCTCAGTCATGTCCTACTCTTAGCGACCCCATGGACCGCAGCCCACCAGGCGCCTCCGTCCATGGGATTCTCCAGGCAAGAGGACTGGAGTGGGGTGCCATTGCCTTCTCTGGATAAAATGTATAGACCTACATAAACAAAATTAAAATCCTACTGAAGAACATAACAAAGATTTGAGAATATGAAAAGAAATACATCCCAGGTGAAAAGACTGTGCGTTTTAAGCAGTCAGTGCTCTTAAACAAATACATAGGTATAACGTAATTTCAATTAAAGCCTTCCCTCACAGATTTTTAAAAATTAGATAAAATGATCATAAACTTACACAGAATAACAGATGCCCAAAAAAGCAAAGTCTGAAAAAGAGAGTGGAGGTTTTATCTTATTAAATAAATGTTAGAACATACTATGAAAGCCACTGTAATCAAATTAACATATTATTGAAATAGGAACAGATACAATGATCACTGGAAAAGGATGAAGGATGCAGAAAAAAGTTCCAGTGTTTATTATATGACAAAGGTGGCATCTCTATTCAGTGGGAGAAGGATGTGCTTAGTCGCTCAGTCAGTCTGACTTTTCAACCCCGTGGACTGTAGCCTGCCAGGCTCCTCTGTCCATGGGGTTCTTCAGGCAAGAACACTGGAGTGGGTTGCCATGTCCTCCTCCAGGGCATCTTCCCAAGCCAGGGATCAAGCCCAGGTCTCTGGCATTCCAGGCAGAGTTTCACCGGCTGAGCCGCCAGGGAAACCCAGGAAAAGGACGGGTTATTTAATGATTTGGTGCTACTGGTGAATTCACAACTGGTGAATACTCTGAAGGGAATACAACAGGATCCTATCTTATGTCATATACAAACATAAATTCCTGGTAACTATACATTTAAATGTAAAACAAATAAATCTTGGGGACCACATGAACAATATACAGACTGGGAAGACCTTTTGAATTAAGAAATTCGAAAGTAAAAAAATAAAAATAAAAAGCAGACATATTTAACTACATACAAATGTTAAACTTTTGTATATAGCAAAAACTAGTGATTCCCAAAGTATGCTCTCTGGACCAGCAGCAAGAGCAATACCTGGGAACCTGTTAGAAATACAAACTCTTGCCTCTCACCCTAGACTTGCTGAACCAGAAATTCTCAGCGTGGTGCCCAGTACGTTTAATAAGCTCTCTGACCTAGGTTTAATGGCATCAACGACTCGATGGACATGAGTTTGAGCAAGCTCCGGGAGTTGATGATGGACAGGGAAGCCTGGCGTGCTGCAGTCCATGCGGTCACAAAGAGTCGGACACGACTGAGCGACTGAACTGAACTGAATAAGCTCCCCAACTGACTCTGATGCACAGCTGAAGTTTGAGGACCACAAAGTCATTGGAAAAAAAAAAATTGGAAAAAAACTTGTAACAAAGATAACATTCAGAAGGTTAGCACTTATAATATCTGGTGTTTTTTTTTTTTGGCCAGGTATGCAGGATCTTAGTTCCCTGACCAGGGACTGAAAACTGTGCCCCCTGCACTGGGAACTCAGAGTCTTAACCACGGGAACACCAGGGAAATTCCAATAATATTGACTTTTTTTTTTTTAAGTATGTGATAAACAACCATAGCTGAGCCTGCTTCCTTGCCCAGAAGCAAGCCAGGAGACAGTCTGACAAGCGTATGTGGGTAACTTAGAAATAAATCCCTCCAGCCTGCAGAATGTCCCACGGGATGAGCACGCACTGTGGAGGTTTGGTTTTGTTTTTCACTTGGCGGTGCCAGGCCTTATTTGTGGCATGCTGCAGCATGCAGGAACTTTACTTGTGACCAGTGGGATCTTGTTCCCACCCAGGGACAGAACCCTGGCCCCCGGCCCTGGAAGCACGAAGTCTTAGCCACTGGACCAATAGAGATGTCCCAATAACACTGATGGTTTTTATAAGCTGATGGGAAAAGAACTAATAAACAGGAAAATGGGCCAAGTGTATGAAGAGTAATCCGGAAAGGACAAATCAAAATATGACCAAAAAATGCTTAAACTCAGCTTCAGTCAGGGAAGTGCAAATTAGAGCAAGATCGTACTTTACACCTACCAAGATAGGAAAAGCTTTGCAAGAGCAATGCCCCTTCTGGCTGGAGGGAAATGGGTACTCTCATCTGTGGCCAGTGGAAATAGGAATTGTCACAGCCTTTGTGGAAAGAAATCTGTAACATCTATAAAACCAAAAGTCTGTGTATCATTCCACCTTACAACCTCACCCCTTGGACTCTAGCCCCCAGAAACAAAAGCACTCATCTGTGAGGACGCAGGCAAAGGCGTGTTCACCAGAGCATCGTTCGCACCAGAAAAAACTGAAATCCAAGAATGCCCTTCACGGGGATCTAGTGAAAGAATTCTGGTGTTTACGCAGCATGAACTATAATGTGGCTATTAAAGAAGAAATAATTAGAACAGAGCTGCACAGAACCACCTGGAGTGCTTGTTAAATCTCAGGCTGGGAGGACTCATCCCCCAGAGTTCCTCTGGATCTAGGGTAGACTCCAAGAATTTGTTACTAAAAACCCCCAGATAGCACTGATACTGCAGTTCCAGGGACCACGCCTGGAGAGTCACTGGTGTATGTGGGAAAAGTGTAAAAACGACATTTAATATGGCAAATTTTTATAACATAAACAATGACTTCCAAAACCATATATTTATATGTATATGAAAATGACCAAAAAAAGGTGGCAAGTAGCAGGAGGCTAACTTGGGTTTGCTGTGGGAACATGGACAGGGTGTAAAGGGCGCTTCCACAACAGCCTGGACGCGTGTGAGGTGATCACGTGCTACACTTTCACGTGAAACTGTCTGCATATAATCTGTGCAAAGGAAACACGGAAAAAACAGCGATTTGTGTCCAGCCTAAAACACGATGGCAGGGCAAACCCCGAGCCCTCTTCCGGGCATGAACGTACCTGATACGACGTCACAGGAGACGGGAGATACGGGGACAGTGCAGACTGAGCCAGCATCCTGCCGGGGGTGATGTTGTAAGGAGCGGGGTAAAACCTGCAGGAGGGGACCACTCAGTAAGGAGGCAGGGCGGACTGCAAGGCCAGGGCCCCCCCGCGGCAGATACAGCCACGAACATCGAGGTAAACCACACGAGGGCCTGGACACGCGGCGGTGTCGTTTTCAGGAGGGCCGTTTACAGACGACACCTTACCCGTTCTGAAGAGCCGTGGTGGGGTCGTAGGTCAAAGCCATGCCACCCTAGAGGGAAAGAACACAGCGCGCACGCCGTGAGCGCGTAGGTGAAAACAGGAGCCGGCCCAGAGGCTCACGGCTGGGGGCGCGTTTGGTTCACAGCCAGCTCTGGACTGGCCTCCACAGTAACCGCTCCAGGCTGTGCCTGCTTGGGCAGGGGGCACAATCCCATTCACACTGAAGAGTGTGCAAAGCAGCCAGCATTGCTCACTTACACACTGGAGCTCTCAAGCCTACCCCAGGAATCAAGCCATGGAAATTCCCACTCCTGCATGCAGGATCTTAGTTCCCCAGCCAGGGATCAAACCTGCCTTCCCTGCAGTGGGAGCAGAAGAGCCCCACCCATTCCCCTCTAACGTCACCAGTGGTCTGGTTTCCGAGAGGGCCTCTTACCATGTCTCCATTTCTTGGCCAGGCCCGTCCGTTCTGCACAAATTTTCCTTGGTTCTGTCGTTTCTTTGGACCCCCATCAGCAAATTTGCAAAGCAAGGGATCAGATGGGGCTGCCGAGAGAGAAAGCAGACAGGCAGCTGAGTCCCGCCTCACTTAGCCCATTCACTCATGCAAAAAGCCTCCAGAATCTTCACAGAAGTCATAACCTGTGGCCTCTCAGCCTGATTCCCAGATGCCTCACCTGGTACTCCAGGGGGTGTCTTAATATATTTTCCATTAAAGTGGGTGATGATGGCTTCACACTTCTCTGTGGACTCCATCCTAAGGAGCACAAGAGGAATTAGGGTCTAGCTTCTCCAGGATCTAAACCCTCCCTACATTTAAAGAGGAAGCTCTTGCGTTCCCAGCCCCAAAAACGCTCCAGAAATTGTCACTACAGACACGGGGCCTCCTCCACACAAACTCAAGGGCGTCTTAGAGAAGCAAGCCCAGCTTCTGACGACGGTGTTCTCGACTGGTTCCTCGAGGGGTCCTGAAAGGGATACAGGGGGTCTGCACACCATGACTATGCCAAAGACACTGGTGGGCGGGCCTTGTACTCAGTTTGTGTCTGGGTTCCCGAATAAGAACACAATAAACAGTGGCTGTTACCATTATTTTTTATTACAAAATTCCTAATGGAAACTTTCCTAGGATTTTTTGGCTCTGTTTGCGTAATCTTACTTTCCTGACCAGGGATCAAAGCCAAGTCACAACAATGAAAGGGCTGAGTCCGAACCGCTGCACCAGCAGGGAATTTCCCTGTTCCTTCACTCTGATAAAGCTATACAAGCTAAGAGTTTGCCAATATCTATTTTTTTGCTCTGGTTATAATTGTAAAGGTCTAATTAGCTACCGATAACCTCCTTAAGATTTCATGAGTTGGGGGAGGGAGGCTTATTAGGAGTGTGAGGTGAGCAGACACAAATTACCATATGTAAAACAGATAAACAGTGTCCTACTGTGGAACACAGGAAACAATGTTCAGTATCCTGTAATAAGACAAATGGAAAGGAATATGAAAAAGACAGACGTGTGCATGTGCACACATAAATATGAAAAATATATAAACCACGTTTCTGTACACCTGAAACTAACGCCACGCTGTAATCCAACTACACTTCAATTATTTTTTAAACGGGGAAAAAAGATTTCATGAGTTTGTAGGAACAAAGAGTATTAAGACAGGGTTTAAGGTGATAGAACAATGTTAGAAGCTACGCAGCTAAAGTGTCTTGTTGGGGAAAGAGAAAATGAGTAAGGAATTAGTGGTGCCTGGTCACCCCTCACAGGCTCTGTGAGTTAGAACATGCACGGAAGTCCTCCGGACTCATTCCTCATTTCTGCTTCAAATCTCCATCTACCGTACTATACAGGGCTCAAATGAGATAATGTGTATAAATGTGTTCTAAAAATTATATGAAGATCTACGTAAGATATGGACAGTATTTTCCCCCTTTCCCACATTTAAAGTAAGTCAGCATATTTTCTATGCCAATAACCACTAAAGATCTGAACAAGCTCCATATTGGCAGTTACTAGAAAAAGACCTTAAATGGAACCTCCTAGTGAAAAGCATGATGAGCATTCTAGAGCAACCAATGTTTAGTTGGGTTACTCCTACTCTTGAGTCTTTCAAAAGGGTGACAGGCATGTAGGGTTTTAAAAGAATCACTTTCAGGAATTCAACTTCCTCATAAACTCTTTCCTAGAACAGATGTGTCTGCGGGAGTTCATCGTCGCTAATGATCGAGGCTGAGGGCCCCTTTCACGACGACTCCGCTCCGCTTACTTCCAGCTCATCCCAGAGCTGAACAGGAGGCGCTGAGGCCTGAGCTACAAAGTGTTTCTTAAGTTACCTGTTTCCAATTCTTCCTTCCCACAAAGCTAAAGGACTCAACAAGTTGTCCACTGACACATTAAAAAAAGTCAATTCTGATGACAGATCACCCTGGCTCTTGGCATATAATTCAGAAGGAACTCAAAGAACTCCTATTTTAGCAAAACTCTTTCCATTCCCATTTATTTATGTGAACAGGGTTCCTTACCATGAAAACAAAATACAAATAGAACGGACATTAAATTCTGTCTTGTTACAGCAATAAACAATCGTCATTGATGGCTACATGATTTAATTATAAAAAGTTAAAAGAAGCATTTCCAATAAAATTTATTTCATGTAAAACAACTTTGTATCAACATTTTAATATATTTATGTTGTTTGGGGCAACTGTGCACTATTTATAAAGATAATTTCCTTATGGCTTAATGCATAAAGATTCAGAGCCACAAGAAAAAAATAAATTTATATTTTTGTTGCAGAGAAATCTAGCAGAATGATCCATACAAAGACTTTTAGCTATAAAAGTATTTTAAACTAAAATACAATTCTGTAGGGAAATAAGATGGCAATACAAGATCAAGAAGAGAGAAAGGAATACTATAACAATTATTTAAGAGTTGTGACTTAAAGAAATGCCCCATGTATTTTGAAATGGTTTTGTGTATTAAATTGCTACATTTAGATTTCATCTGGATATATTTTAAAATAGTATGACAGTTTTACTTAGACTAACATAGTCTAAATTATTACTAACACTATGTAAATATTAACATAATATTTATAATTTGCTGCAAATTATACTTTGTAAGAATCTAAATGTATGAAGAAAATTTGAAGTTATTAATGTAGAAATATACAAGAGATTTCATGGCTTTTCAAGACTTCAAAGCCATAGTTCCTAGACTGGGCTTTGAGGCACCCTGGGTCATTGTGATGAGCTCACAGAGGCATAGCAAGGGACACTTCAACTTTCTGAAGAAAATACAGCAACACTTATTGGCTATTTATCGTAAAGACTACTAACTCTAAACAGTTCAATATTTCCACAATCTGGTTTTTCAGTAGCTGCTATGACAAATGCAAGTACCATAAGAAAACCCATGTGTAACAGGAAATGAGGGTGTCCTTGTTCAGTGTGATTCCAAGGTTTGAGAACTGTGCAGTGTCCAACAGGCCCACACCCACTGAAAGTGTAGTTATTTAAAGAATGAGACAAAAATATTTTCTCTTTCAATGTATTTTTAAAATAACTACAAAGCTGTTAAAATATTAAACATTTCTTGACTGTTTAGACCATTTAATTACTTGATAAATTAAACTGTTAAGTATTTCTTTTGGAGAAGGGGACGACAGAGAATGAGATGGTTGGATGGAATCATCGACTTGATGGACATGGGTCTGGGTGGACTCCGGGAGTTGGTGATGGACAGGGAGGCCTGGCGTGCTGCGGTTCATGGGGTCGCAAAGAGTCGGACACGACTGAGCGACTGAACTGCACTGAGGGCAAAAAAATTACGGCGACGAAATGGAGCGTCCGCTTTAAGAGAGTATGGGGGCAAAAAAGTTAATCACCAGCCTCAGCACCGCCCCTTAGTGCACACGGGCTCACCAGCAGGTGGCGCCAGCGGGCTGGAGCAGGCTGGGAAGAGACGCGACCCCACGCCCCGAGGTCCGAGGCCGCCGCGGGGAGCGGCGCCCTTGGACCAGACCAGGTATTACCGGGAAAAGGGACTTCCAGATCACGCGGCCCAGGTCTTTTCAGGCTCTTTAGAAGGGCACCGGAATCTCCTTTCAAGCGAAACCTTAGAATAAATAAAAACCGCTTCCTAAGTGGGCTAGGCTAAGCCGGAGCCCTGGCAGCGGTGACCCTGGCCTGCAGACCCGGCTGCCCCCGGCGGGAGCGGGGCTGGCTTCAGACCGGCACTGAAATACACGCGTGCCCGCGAACGGGCGGCCAGGGCTGTCAGATGCACGCAGCAGGGCACCCACAGCCGCGGCCCCGGGACTGCCTGGGGGGAGGGCGGGGATGCAGGAGGGCGGGGGGTCCAGGGTGGGGGGCACGCGTGTACACCCATAGCTGATTCGTGCTGATGCATGGCAGAAACCATCACTATACTGTAGCTTTCCTCCAATTAAAGTAGATAAGTAATTTTTCTAAAAAAAGAAAACCACGCATCTAAACCTCTACTTCACAGGGTAACCAAGGCTCATAAAGGTCTGATACCACAGGGGCAGTTAGTGGTAGAGCTGGATGGAGAATTTAAGGCTCTCAACAGATCTGAAAAGGTAGACCAGATCTTCCATTTAATCCTACCTATTTTGAAGTCAGGAGGGTAAGGGCTCAACTCTACCACCCACTCCTGAGACCTTGGGCAAATCACTTCATATTGAGAACTTTGGTTTTCTTTTCCATAAAATAGAGAATTAATATTTTATTTCAACAATATTATAAGGAACTATACTCCAATTTTTTAAAAATTAAAAAACTACATACATAAGTAAAAACTCAAATTGTATAGTTAAATTGAATTTCACTGCATTTACTATCAATAAAGTTTATTTTTTTAATAAAAAAATATTTATTTCATAGAGTAAATGAGGTAGACAGACAGAGGTTTGCTCAGTCGTGTCTGACTCTTTGCAACTCCATAAACTGTAGCCTTCAGGCTCTTCTGTCCACGGGACTCTCCAAGCAAGAATACTGGAATGGGTTGCCATTCCCTTCTCCAGGGTATCGAACCCAGGGATCGAACCTGGGTCTCCTGCACCGCAGGCAGATTCTTTACCTTCTGAGTCACCAGGGAAGCCCAAATGACATAATAGGACGAGAAATACTCAGGAAACTAAAACAGGATACAGAATTATAATCTTCTATTCTGCTTAGCTCTAGATCAAAGGAACAAAGGCTAGAGTAACAGGAAATAGTGGCGAAAGCATAGAGTTGAGAGCAAATAGTTTTTTTGAGTCCTGTGACCTGTAATTAAATGAACTTTTGATTTACTGTCAAGAACTTTTGGCCAGTGTTGTCCTGGGGGGAGCAGGACACAGACTTTTTGATGGCCTTCTATGTGACATCCTTTATTAACGTCATCACTTGCAGTTCTCGACCTCTCTCACCTGGCAAAGCCGACCCCTCTGCTGGCCCCGCTGGTGTCGCGCAGGATCCGAGTGGAGACGACCTGGCCGAAGGGCTGCAGCATCCCCTCCAGCTCCTGCTCATCCACCGACAGCGGGAGGTTTGAGATGTATAAGTTTGTGGGGTCCTGCTCCTGTTGCTATGGAAATAGAGGTGAAAACATGGATTTCATATCTCTTAACCCTCTCCCACCCTCAGCCATTATTCACAGAGTGACATTTCAGAAAAGAGAGAGGAGGAAGGGATGACCGACCAGAGAATCTCAGCAACCGTCCGGAACACCTCGTCCCACTACCACGGGGCATGCGTTATGTGCTGAGTCCAGGCCGAAAACCCCACAGGCCGACCATTTCCAGCGCTGCGCGAGCCGCGAGACAAGCCACGGACGGAGCGCCGGGCTGTCGCTTTAAGAGCCAGGCCGGCAGCACTGCCCTCTCCACCCAGCAGCCTGCCCCAGGGGCTGGATTCTCCGGGGCTGCCTGCGCTTCCAGGGCTGGCCTGTTTGGAGTAATCTCCCTCCCCCTCTTCCGGCCACAGCGGACTCCCAGTAGTAGGAATGTCTGCCCTCCCTGACGGAGGGAGCGCTGGAAGAGGACAGGAGAGAGAAGGGCAGAGCTGGGGGCTGCAGCGAGAGCCAGCTCACGGTCAGCTCACGGGTCACAAGTCAGCACAGAGCCCCGGAAGCCCCAGTCTCACCGGAGGCTGAAGCCGCTCCCCGGTCAGAGGGGTTTTCCCCAGAAAGAGCTGCGAGAGCACCTCGGGGGCAGACTGGAAAACGGCAACTCCCAGCGCCGGGCTGCGCAGTTCAAGCTGCCACTCTGCCCTGACAGTGGGCCGCCGGCAACCCGACTCCCTCCGCTTTCAGGGCTCCTTTTTCTTCCACCGTTACAGAAAGGGCCGGCCCCTCTCGGGGATTCACAGTGACTTGGGAAAGGAAAAGTCTCTGGCTTTCTAGTGGCCCAAATGAAAATAAAAAACTTGCAGACAGATGGGAGAAAGGAAGGGACAGTTCCCTTTCTCTCTGCAGCATCTGCCCCTCCACGCCCTCCACGCACCCGCCCCTTCCTCAGGGAACAGGCTGGGAGGTGGAAAGCGTTGTTCCGAACTTGGGAGTTGCACAACTGGCTTCTTCAGAGAATGTTGCAAAAACACCACAAGCTGTCTGGTAGGGAAGTGGGACGGGGTAGAGGGAAACAGCTGGAGGGAGGGAAGCAGCTCCGGACCCTCCCGCCTGCTTAGAACACCTGATGAGAGGAAGAGAGCTGACAGAGCCACCTGCCGCGGGCTCTGAAAACCGCCTTCCGCCGGCAGCAGCGGCCCTCGGTGGGGCCCTGGTTGAGACTGGATACAGTCAAAACGCACTGCAGAAAGCCCTTGCCCTTCAACCACACGGCTCTTGAGCCCTCTGGACACCTTGGAGGCTAACTACCAGCTCTCGGAGGGGCAGCCGGGGGCAGGACCCTCACCTTTGCCATCTGCGCTTGCACACCACTGGCCTTCAGCGCGGTCACCGCTCTCTGTGCGGCTGAAGGGCTGTCGAAGTCCACAAAGCCGTAGCCTGCAAGGGGGAAACAGCGTCACTGGGAGGGAGGGGCGTGGGGGGGCCGGCTTTTCAGGGGCCAGAGGAAGAGCCACGACCCACAAAGCAGAAGTGGCAGGGAGGAAGAGGGATTAAGAGGTGGCAGGTGGTTACCCCTGGGCTCCCCAAACCCTGTGAGAGTTGGCCTACTTTGCAGCTAAGAATGCCAAGGGCCACAAGGTCTTTGGGGAATCCTTGCCTTCCTCCCTCTCCCCTAAGAAAGTCCAAGGTTTCAAGAGCTAGGCTCCTCTAGTAACTCATGGCCCCCTCTGTTTCCAAAAGAACTCCCTCCTCTTTTCCAGCCACCTCCCGCAAACGCTAGGCATGTAGGAAATACAGCCTCTCCACTGCAGCCAGCCAGCCACCTGCTGGAAGAGGCCCCTCACCCCAGCATCCAGCCCCTTCCCTCTTTCCCTCTCCACCTAGAATTGCTCAAAACCCCAACAAAACTAAGTTGCCCCATCTACACCAATAAAAGACATGTACAGTGCACTGCTACATAGAAATGGTCTCACATACCCATACCTACCATCCGGTCCAGGGGAACAGGACTTAAAGGCACTCTGCGGGCTTCTAGCCTTGGGTCCCCCAAAGAGCATTTTTAGCTGAAGCTCTCTGGTCACCAAAGAACCTAAATACCTACCTGACTTTCAAGCCTGAACCCCTGAGAGACGCCACGCTGGTCCTGGAAACCAGGGGCCTGAAGCAGTGAGGGGCGGAGGCGAAGGAGGGCCCCGCCAGCGGCAGGAGCTGTACTCACCTTTGCACTTGTTTGTGGTCTTGTCCAGGATGGCCTTGGTGGAGACAATCTTGCCGTACCTAAGGGGGAAGAAAGTGCAAAGTGATCATCTGGGGGCAGGGGTTTAGAGAGGACAGAGACTGCGGCATCTAAGGGAATCCACGCCCTGTCTTCACTCCCACGAGGAGAAACTGTCCTTGCTCAATGCTTAGCAATAAGAACAAATGAATTTAAAATGTCGCAATTCTCATATAAACCTATTCCCCAAAGGCATCTACAAGAAATAAGGTAACTGTAGTCCCTACACTATCAACACATTTCTCTCTTCTCCCCCAAATAAGACTCAGATACTAGTTAGAAAGAGACCCCTGTCCTTCTGGGGGAAAAGAAGCTTGGTGATGTCCATTCAGCAGCGTGCAAGGGCAGAGCTCTGGCAAGAATTCCTTGAAGACTAAAAGTAATCCCTGAAATTACTTATATTCCTTTGGACAAACACCATTTCCCCCATGAAAATCTATTTCTCTTTTCTAACATCCCACTCCTCACTCTTCTACTGGCCCCCTGATTGAAGGTCAACTTAAGTCAAACTGCGTTTATTCAAATCCTGATTCTGCCACTTAGTTATGTGTGATCTTGGACAAGTCATTTAATCTTTCTGTGTCTCAGACTCACCACCTGTAAAATGGAGAGACTGTTGGGAATATGAAATGAGATCATGAATACAAAGCACCAACGTCTACCAAAAAGCACCTGAACATTGCTAATTGCTATTATTATAGTGTTATATCCAAAGGACCTCAACATTTAACCAGACGGCTCTCTTCTGGGCTTTAGTGTCTAAGACGTCTCTCTCTCTTTTCAGCTGTGCCATGGGGCTTATGGAATTTTAGTTCCCCAACCAGGGACTGAATCCTAATCACTGGACCACCGAGGAATTCCCTGATTTCCGTCTGTCAAGATTTCAGTGTGTTAGGGAGGGGACGGGGCATTAGTCTAAATGCAATCGCTGTGTTAAGAAAATTACCCAAAACTTGATGATAAGGCAAAATGAGGATTTCACCTTCTTTCAATGTCATTCTGGAACACTGTCTGTCTACAAGGCCCATTCAAGGTATATTCTATTATCTAGAAGGATGTTTCTTTGGTTTGCTATTTATTACTGATGAGGTTCAGATTTTATGAAGATACATATTTGTAGATTTTTATCTAGTAGAGATACAAGTAATTTTTGTCCACTAGAAAAGATAATCCCAAAGGTTACTGTTTTACTGTTCTAAAGGGTATGAAGCATTTTTCTCTGTAACCTAGCAATCTTATTCCAACTTTCTTTCTTCGGTACCTATCGATATTCAGTTTCTCAAATGCTCTTTGAACCCATTTTGCCATTCTGCTAGTTCCCTCATTAATGAGTAAAGTAAATATTTGGCATAGGCTCACCTGTATTTGTAGGAGTTATGTTCTTCAACCTTTTTAAATTATACTTTAAAAATAGATAAATAAAATAAAATTATACTTTAGCCATGCGGGGTCCTGTGGAGTGCCCCAAACTTGTGAACAGTGGAGTACCACTGTTCTGGGATACATGAGAATGTTCTACTCGAAAGAAGTCTCTACATTCCACTTCAGGAGGGCGAACCACATCAGACAGACAGGACAGAATCACTAACACAGTCAGGAGGATAAACTGCAGCTGCGAGCGGTTGGCAGGGGCTGAACTTGAACTACCTGAAACAAGCATTTCTCCCCCACCTTTTCCTCCCGTTCCATCCCTAAAGAACACATGATGGTCGATGGGTCTGCTCTGCTCCTTGGCAGCCACTGACAGTTCTAGCGGGGCTCTGTGACCCTCGGATTAGACAGAAAGCCAAGCAGGGCCCTGGAGGCTAGAAAAGATGTGATCCTAAGCCTTTTGGGCTGCATACTTGGATTCTTCCCCAAATTTAGGCAGGGGAAGGGATGAAGGAGAACACACGCGCTGCTCTCCCCACCCAGGCCCGAGGGTGGGGCTCGCTGCGGTCTGAGCAGCCTGAGCTCAGAGTTTCCACTGCAGCTGGCAACAGCTGGGCCATGCTGCTTCCTCCACGGAAGGAGCCCCTCCAAGAGAGAACCAGGAGCTCCGGTTCCAGACTCCACGCCTCTCTTTCCTGCCCACCAGGGCTAAGGATCCAGCACCGCTACTTCCCCTACAACCTAGAGAGATAGCTGGAACAAAGGCAGGAAGTCCTCCTATGCATGGGAAACGCCATTCTTGGAGAGCGTCCACTCCCAGCTCACAGGCCTGTAAGGGTTCCACCCACCTGCTCTTCTCAGCTTCCCTTTCATCATCACTCATCTAGCACCTATTTTTTCTCTGCCGCACTCCTACTTATGGTCCCTTCCTGGGCTCCTTACTCCCATCCTCTATGCCAACCCTGATTATTCTCATCCCTCAGACATAACAGAAGGTAAGGCAACGATCAGTAAGGACAAAATGAAAGCCTGAAAGTATCGTGAAGCAGAACCGAGCTTTTCCCCTGTCTTGTGGAGTCACAGAATTGATGTTTGTGGCACAGTAGATTTAGTTCAAGAAACAAAGGGTAGAGAAATCAAGGAACTAGATCGATACAGTACTCTTTCCCTTCACGTGCTAAGTCACTTCAGTCGTGTCCGACTCTGTGACCCCATGGACTGCAGTCTGCCAGGCTCCTCTGTCCATGGGGATTCTCCAGGCAAGAAGACTGGAGTGGGTCGCCATGTCCCCCTCCAGGGGATCTTCCCAACCCAGGGATCAAACCCATGTCTCTTATGTCTCCTGAAGACATTCTGGCCAATTCCTATTCCCTCAAAAAATTACTAGTCCTAGACTAAGTCCCCTAAGTTCATTTAAATACTTTTCCAACAAGGTCAGCTGAGGTGAAGGATCCAGTGTTGTACACATATCCAGCCTTTAGAGACTGATTCTGTGCAGCCTGGTGCAAACAGAATTTCAAAACCGTGACTTCAGAAGACTAAGGGATTTACAGAGTACCTCCGAGGCCTCATACATTCTGGGGGAAGGATGTTCAGCCTCTCCAGGATTTGGGACAGCTGGCACACACATATACTGTTACGGGAGTTTGTGTCAGTTTGACCGCTTCAGAAAATTGTTTACTAGTATCTACAAAAGCTGAACGAATGTATATCCTATGATTTAGCAATTCCACTCCTAGGTCTATAACCAGTATAAATGTATATACACATGCAACAAAAGTCATGCACAAATTCCCAGCAGCACTGTTCCTATCTATAACAGTCACATACTGGAAACCAACCCCATATCCAGCAACAGTAGAACAAGTAAATAAACTGTGCTATATTCCTACGATGGAATTCTAGAAAGGAAGAAGAATGAACAAAGCTTTGCTACAGGCAACAGTGTGGATGCATTTGCCAAACACCACCAAGAAAAAGAAACCAGACGTGAACTGGTCTGTGCTGCATCGTCATGTTTACATGAGGCTCAAACAAGCCACAGAGGCCGTTCAGAGGTCAACAGTAGGGACCTCTGAGGGTGGGAGAGAGACTGTCACAAGGAGGTGAGCTTCTAAAGAGCTGATAATGTTCCACCGATCTGTGTCAGAAGGGGCTCTTACAGGGATGTGTTCACCTTATGAAAATTCACTGTTCTATAAGCACTTAGGATTTGTACACTTTTCTGTATGCCTGTTATACTTCAACAGTTTTAAACAACACTAAATTTAGGGACCTCCCTGGTGGCCCAGAGGTTAAGAATCCACTTTCCAACGCAGGGGACGTGGCTTCGACCCCTAGTAGGGGAACTAAGGTCCCACACGCCTCACAGCAACCAGGGCTGGGTGATGCAGCCGCCAAGCCCACAGCCGCAATAGCGAGCCCGTGCTGCAGGAAGGCCCGCTCGCCGCAACTCAGGCCTGGCACAGCCAGATGGACGAGCTCGGTCTCTCCTTCCCTGCCAGTGCTCCCCTCCTACCAGCCTCTAAGCACTCCCCCACACAAATGATCTGAAACACATAGCTTTCTGCTACATAGAATTGAGCTGGTGTCTCTGCATTCTTGCAATTTTTCTGGCTTTCCTAACTGGACTAATTCCATGGTAGTTATCTCTACCTCATGACTCAAGTCTATGCAAAAGAACCCCAAAGATCCTTAGGGGGTAAATGCCAGGTGACAACTCTTTCTTCATATTCTTCTTTATCCACTAGTTTGAGGGCCCCTCTGGGTCCCTGGGAATATCTCTAGCAGCAGAAACTCTCCTAAGAGCATAATTCAATTTAGTCCCACCTTCTTCTATCCTCACCGCCAACTCTATCTTCTGATCGATATCTTCAGAGATATTGAGCATTTCTATTCAGGGTGTAAGGGTAGAAATCTTTCCACCAAGACCATCGGTTCTGGACACACGCTGGAAACAAACCCAGGTACTGCGAGGCTTTCCAGGCCGGCCTGACCCGGCTTTGCTCAGAGAAGCACATGAAAGCTTTACGCAGTGGCAGCACATAGGACTCTTTGAGGGGGGGCTGACTGACCGTGTCACTATAGGGGCAGAAACCAAATGACACCGCGTCGGGTGAGAAGCCAGCATCAGCGGCCCTGCACTGCCCCTGGAGACCTGCCCGCACGCGCCCGACTTACGCCTGACAGAGCTTCACCAGGTCCTGGTCCGTGGTGCTCGGCTGCAGCCCCCGGATGTAGAGGTTGGTCTTGCTCAGCTGGTCACTCGCCGCGCTCCCACTGCTACTGCTAGGGGTGCTGCTGCTTGGACTCGGAGGTGCCATTTGCTGAGACAAGGACACATATGGCTGCAGGGAGACACGAAGAGCAAGAGGTCAGGAAAATCATGCGCTTAGATGCTCGGGAGTGAGGAAGCGCTTGGCCCCGCGGAAAGAATGATTCCAAACCTGGACAGCAATAACGTCATAGAAGAGTTTTACAAAATGGGGGAAAAAAAACCTAAAGGAATTCCACTCTGAATAAGAAAATGTTTAATTGCCTTTTCACGGAAAATGAGAGGTCAAAATATGTTTGCTAAAGGTTTAGAAAAAAGATACCTTGTGATAGAGGAGTGTTCTTATTATATAGACGCTGGAAATACAATTGATGTATGCCTCTTAAGTAAACTCTGTAATGAGGCAAGATTAATAAAAATCTAAGTTCTATTCAAAAATGACAGAGAGGAACTAGTAATTTATCAAATCAAGAAGGTATAGAAATGCTGAACACAGATTATTCATTAAACTCTAGAATATGAAAACTGCAAAATACTTGCAAGAATTTGAAAATTATTATACACTTTGACCAATAAAATGAAATACTAATTATCATGCCAGGTAGTAAACAATGAAATTTTTTACTCTGCTAATAGGGGTTTACTCGTAAGTTCCTTACAACCATATTTTAAAGGTTTAAATATGAATGAATACTAGATAAAGTACAGGTGAGGAAACCCAGGATTGGGGATGAAACATCTGTAAGCTTTCACTGTTGATACCGGGACAAGCAGCCAGACTCTGCGACGCTTCGGGGGTCCTTCTGTTAGAGAAAAGCTACCAGGCTGACTGGAACATGGATTCATTCTTTCCATGGCATATTTTACGTCCTTATGCTCTAATCAAGCTTCTAGTGTACACAAATATACGGTTCATAATACTCTAAATTCGCATTTGTCAGTTACTAAGTCGTGTCCGACTCTTGCGATCCTACGGACTGCAGCCCGCCAGCCTCCTCTGTCCATGGGATTTCCCAGGCAAGAATGCTGGAGTGGGCTGCCATTTCCTTCTCCAGGGACCTTCCAGCCCCAGGGATCAAACCCTAGCCTCCTGCACTGCAGGCAGAATCGTTACTGTTGAGCCACTGAGGAAGCCCCCAGATTTGCATACTACCTGCAACGTGGTATACTTCACTGTACCATACTCAAATTCCAGTTCTCCCTCGGCTTAAAGCACTTTACAGTACAAACCTATTTGAAATTACTTCCCTATAAAATGCCAGCTTCATCTCCAGGGTTTCCCCTACCTGCTTTTCTTTGGTGGCGGTGGTAGTAAGGGACTGGAGTGGTAACAGAAGAAAAAGAGATACGTAAATATCAAAGAGGGGAAACCTTCCCCCGTAAAATGTGCCTCTTATATTTCATGCCTCTGACTTTTAGAAAACTCTTAACATAAAATTCTTTGCTCACGCTAAATATGTTGAAGCAAGTATTTCCCTATTTCCGTCATTAAAAAATGTGCAAAGACACACGTGTATCCACTTGCAAACACACTGTTCACTCCTTAGCTCCATACCACAGCAAAGAGGAAACTCAACGTCACATTCTGGAATGGCCCAAAGACTCATGACCTACCGCAGCTCCTGATATACCCTATCTGTTTCCTACCCCCATCCCCACCTCTTTGCCAGCACTGATACTAGGATTTTCCATACAAAACAATCCACATGCTGGCGGAACATGAATTATTATTCCCCTGTGGTGGCAGTGACAGTCCACAAGTGCAGGGCAAGGCATGTGTATTTTTTAAGCAACTTTCAGACAACAAGACAAAAACAGGGCAAATAAACCTCAAAGCCGTACATCCAGTGCTAGAAATGGCAGCACTTAAGAACAATGCTGAAATCGCCAGTGAATTAGCAGATAAGTAATAATAATCAAATACTAGTGGTCAAGACCTCCCCCACTGTCACTGCTATGGTTAAGTGCACCGTCTGATTTAGAGGAAGAAGATTATGACCTATATTCTAATCATGAGTGCTTCTGAATTCAGAATAAGAAGATCACTGCTACAGGTCATTCGCTAAGGCATGCCTTTCCTCTTAGCTGAGAAAGCCGAGCTGCTTCTTCTAAGTATAAGACTCTAGGGAACTCCCTGGAGGTCTAGTGATTAGGGCTCAGCGCTTTCACTGCTGGGGTTGGGTCCAGGCTCTGGTTGGGGAACTAAGATCCTGAAAGCTGATGGCGTGCAGAAACCTCACGCCCCGGCAATCACCCAGTGTGAGAGGCTAGACCTGGGGATGATGATGGAGCCGGCAGGAACGGCGACAGCAGAAGCAACTCTAGCAGCGTTGTATCCACGGACAAGCCCATGGGGTCACCACCTCAATCAGAGTTCACCTACCCCCTTTCCCAACGTGAGAGAATATTCCCAAGAGGAAGTATCAGTGATGCTCGGACTGTCCAGAGAAGAACACAAGGGTTATTGAGGAAAGAAAGAAATTGAAAACAAGCTACTGGTTTGCTACCATGGTTATAATCTTGGTTTTACCAGTAAGGTCTTAGCCATAATCTAAAAACATGACTTAGTCATGAATTTTAAAACAGGCCAGAGAAACTCCTAGAAAAAAATGTAGTTCAGAAAGAAGCTTTTTTTTTTTTCTCTCTTGCTGTTCCCAAATAGCTTCTGAAACTGCTATGCAGGTTTGGCTCCAAAGAGAAAAAACAGAAAAATACTCTCTTTTCAAGAGAATTTACGAAATAAAGTTGAGCAAGCCTCTAAGTAGAGCTTATTTGGCTTCCCAAAAGAAACTATTTGGAGAGAGAATACTAACTAAACTAAACTAATGACCCGTGTTTACCTATATGTGTAAAAGAGAAAAGGGCAATACATATGAGAGTCCAGAGGACTGAGGAGTTTCACTGGGGGTGGGAGGGCAGGGCAGAGTCGTCTTCCTCGTCTCAAACACTCCTCGGAGGCCACTGGTCCTGTCAGGGCCTAAGCTAGAAAACGAAGGGCAAGATTTGAACTCTTGAAAGCAAGGACCCTCACATTTGGCCTAGGGACTTAAGTCACCTGGGATTGTATTAAATTTGCCTTTAGAAATAAATGAGGTACAAAAATATACAAGCAACTCCTCCAGCTCAACTCCAGAAAAATAAATGACCCAATCAAAAAATGGGCCAAAGAACTGAACAGACATTTCTCCAAGGAAGACATACAGATGGCTAAAAAACACATGAAAAGATGCTCAACATCACTCATTATCAGAGAAATGCAAATCAAAACCACAATGAGGTACCATTACACACCAGTCAGGATGGCTGCTATCCAAAAGTCTACAAGCAATAAATGCTGGAGAGGGTGTGGAGAAAAGGGAACCCTCTTACACTGTTGGTGGGAATGCAAATTAGTACAGCCACTATGGAAAACAGTGTGGAGATTTCTTAAAAAGCTGGAAATAGAACTGCCATATGACCCAGCAATCCCACTTCTGGGCATACACACCGAGGAAACCAGATCTGAAAGAGACATGTGTACCCCAATGTTCATCGCAGCACTGTTTATAATAGCCAGGACATGGAAGCAACCTAGATGCCCATCAGCAGACGAATGGATGAGGAAGCTGTGGTACATATACACCATGGAATATTACTCAGCCATTAAAAAGAATTCATTTGAATCAGTTCTAATGAGATGGATGAAACTGGAGCCCATTATACAGAGCGAAGTAAGCCAGAAAGATAAAGACCATTACACTATACCAGAAAGATAAAGACCATTACAGTATACTAACACATATATATGGAATTTAGAAAGATGGTAACGATAACCCTATGTGCAAAACAGAAAAAGAGACTCCTATGTATAGAACAGACTTGTGGACTCTGGGAGAAGGTGAGGGTGGGATGTTTCAAGAGAAGAGCATTGAAACACGTATATTATCTAGGGTGAAACAGTTCACCAGCCCAGGTTGGGTGCATGAGACAAGTGCTCGGGCCTGGTGCACTGGGAAGACCCAGAGGGATTGGGTGGAGAGGGAGGTGGGAGGGGGGACCGGGATGGGGAATACATGAAAGCAAAAAAAAAAAAAAAAAGAAAAACGTTTTCCTCCTTTACTTACCTAGCATAATTTTAGCAGGGTGTTTTAGAAAAAAAAAAAACCTGCATAGATAAAAAAAAAAAAAAAAAGAAAAAAAAAAGAAATAAATGAGGTAGCAAAGAAACATGTAAAGTTATTCCATAGAAGCAGGCAGGCATGAGCCATGTCATGAAGGAGATTTCAGTCTGGAAGTGACTGGGAAACATTGCTAGGTTTATTATAAGCTGAGAAATGACATGATATCATATATGTAAGAAGGCTAACACAGGCTGCATTGTCCCAGCTGGTTCAGAGGGTAGGAGACCAAAGGCAATGAGGCTAATTAGGAGATATTAGACATGAAGGGAGGTCAGGAGAAAAACAGAAGTTAAATTCAAAGTTGCAGGGCTGAGCCTGCGCGGCGTGGGGCTGGACCCTGCGGGACAGCCACGCGGCCCGAGCCGTGCCCGACGGCGGCAGGACAGCGCGGGCCCGGGCCTCCCGCAGGAGCGCCTGACACCTGGCTGCAGGTTCGCCAGGCCGAGGGCGATGTGGAGGCCGAGTGCGCGGTGGAGGTCCGGGGAGGATTAGGGACCCCGTGTGCTTTTTCAAGGGAGCTGGTAAAGAACTTCTTCCCCAAACGGTTAATACACTGTTAAACGTGAAATTAAGGGCAACAGAAAATGGCAAGCAGGTCTCTATCCTGGATCCACCTGGCAACATTCTTATCGCCCCTCAAGCCACCGCTGGCGGGAGAGTAAGGAAGAAGCAGGCAGCGTCACTGTAACTCTGCAGAAGAAGAGGCGTGAGAACTTTGTTCCCAGTCTGTGAATCTCTGTAGAAAAGAATGAGCTGCTAACAGCAAGTGTGCTGAAGCTGGGGTTGTGGTGGAACACGGCGCTTACGGCAACAGGCGGTGTTAAAGCCCGACACCCACGGGCCGAACACACACCTGAGTTCTGAAAGTTTCCACAGTCCTAATGAGATCCCCGAGCCCCTTCTTCTCGAGCAC